CCGATAGAATTGGAATGTTGTCTCAAAGAAGTCCCATCCATCTTACATAACACTGCAGCCAAAATATCTTTTCCTAAAGTCCTAAACTGGGGTACACCAAGAAAGAGAAAGAGTTCTTGGTAACAAAGAGAAAGGTGCTGTTGTATTCTAGGTCCGATTCGCACGGCTGAAAGAAAATGGAGAAGGCAACGATATTAAAAAAACGACGGGTTGCACTCCGGGAATACCGGCAGAAGTGAAAACTTGAATATTAACGTTGTGCATTTTTGATATTTTGGAATGGTTAGGGAATAATTTTGCACGAATTGCTTTAATTATCAGTTTAAAAGTATTATCATGTATGTGGTAGAATACAATATTTATTTATTGCGCTATCGTACACAAACATGACAATTTATATTACATTAAAAAAAAGTTTATTTCTCAGAAAAACCAACTTACATGAATCACGTTTAAGCGCACTTAGCGACATCTATTGTAAAGAAATTAACTTACATGAATCACATTTAAATGCAACTAGCGACATCTATTGTAAAAAAAATGGATTTTCTTCGCAATAAAGCTGCCACGTGGACGTCCTAGATACTTATTATTATAATACGGCAAAATAAAATATTACTATGTTTCGTCCAATATATTGAAAGTCAACAACCTTTCCAATTTTACTGTGTGTCATGATGCGATCAGCCCACGTGTTTAAAACCTGACGCAAGTTTAACATTTTTTACCCATACAAAAAAAAGTGTACAACGCCGCTAAAGAAGTTTTCACTTCAAAAATCCTATCATTGGGAGTCGGAAAAGATTTCTTTAGGGATCTTTCGATACAAGTAAACACTCGATACTTTTAATTCGATACCAAGTAGTTTTGTTATTCAATCAATCTTGCGATACTTACTCGGTAACGCTAAGGAAGTACTTAGTATTGGCCGAATCAGAATTCAGACTGAATCAATCAATATAACTCGAAAAAACTACGCTGTTCGAGCGGTCAAGTGTGCATTCCTGGGACAACCGAATGGCCGCTGGTCTAGGACAGCCCATATATCGCAGGCTGGACCAAGTCATGGTGGATTTGCGCGAGCTTCATGTGGAGAATAGGAGAAAGCGTTTCTTATTATCGGAGGCCAAGACCCACTTTGGGTACGCTGTGTCATCATCATCAAATAGGTAAGTAAGACTATGGCATATTGTTCCCTACTTAATCATGCTTTCAAATTAAAATGTATATAGTAAATGTTCGACAAGTTTTGATAACTACTCGATGCAATTCTAATTTTATCTAAATGGAAATGAGGCTTGTTGAAAAGTCACTCCTCAGTTAAAACAATTAAAGATCACTATGGTATTTATTATGTGAACATGGCTGAATTTAAGAAATGTGAAACCAAATTTAATAGGGATCATAAATCAATAATAATTGTCCTAGGGCCAAGCCAAGGTAATATATTGTTAGTATGACCACTGACTGTGGCACAGATTACTTAGGTAATAGTAACTACGTACTGTGTACAAGGGCGGATCCAGGGGGGGGGGGGGTAATGAGGGCATTGCCCCACCCCCCCCTGGGCTGGATCCATCTGTACCCACTTCACAATCTGTACTTCGCAATCTGTACCCACTGTGACTTGATCACGACTACATGACCCCCCTCTGGCGCCAAAGCTGGATCCGCCCTTGACTGTGTATGACTTTAAGTCAGAAAAATAGAAAAGAGAACACTTTGAGTGTGCGCTTGCATGCCATAACAACTAGCTTGGGTAAATACGGCTATTAGATTTAAAATTTTAAACAGTACCTACAGTAAGTATAGTTTCATGTCTTTGGCTGTCAGCCAATCTAGATTTAACAGGTGCTAAAGATTCTAAGGTACTAAAAACATTACTTAAATTTATAATATACTGTCTTTTTTTCAGGTCCGTGATACTGGCTTGTTTTGAGTTTAATTTGAAAACTGTGCCTGGGGTATCAATATTATAATACCTACTTGTACTGTGAACTACTGTGGTGTGTTTGACCTAGCTAATCTATGTTTGGTCAGTCAGATTTATTGATTCGCAGAGCAGAGAAATTGATGTGACAGCTTAAACCATCGATCATAACAAATTGTAAAAATCAAGACTGACAGTATAATTATGTACTTAATAGGTATCAATACTACATTTTTATCCACCACGAAGGAACGGAGAAGTATAGCACAGTTTATGGATGGTAAAACTGTTGTATAGTAGTAGGTATACGGAGGTATGATATGAGTAATCGTTTGGGGTTTCGATTTGGCGTATACCTAGACATACGAAGGAAACTGAGCCTTTCACGACACTACAACACGCATTCGCCCGGGTGGGCGCGTGTTCCGCCGATCGATAGCGCGACGTTGCCGCTCCGCTCCGCCGAGCCACGAATGAAGCGATGGCGGTGCGGCGCGCGGCCGGTCACTGTTGCGTCCATGTTTATTTTTATTGTTGTTGCGATCAATTATTATGTGGGAATAATGACACCTGCTGAGTGCTGCCGCTGGCCGAGTCGATCGCTCAGTCAGTGGCTCTATTTGCTTCTAGATATTATACATACCTACATTACTAGAGTACATTCTTGATCTGGCATGCGTAAAAGTTACGTACCTAGCATTTAAACAATTTAAATCTCTGCTAGAGATAATACCTAACTACTTAGGTACACAACATAGAACAATTAGACCAAGTTCTAATCCAGAATCAATAGCTACCTACGTAACAGTACTCACTCACATACTTTCTAGTTTATCTCCACACTTTCATTAAGATAGGTATATACTTTATTTCTCTAGAATAATTAATCGAATTCATAATGTTTCACCCTCAGATCAAATAAAAGTTTCGACAAAACGAAACAAAATCAAATCGAATTCGGACTAGTTTAGTGTCAGTAGGTGCTTGCTTAGTGCATACTACTGCCATCTAGCGTAGGTATAAAGCAACATATGTATACATAGTAAATACGAAGTCAAAAGTGAACAACAACTCGCGTCAGTATACTACAACGCATCGTATTGTGAATACGTCACGTGAATATTATTTTTTTATCAAAACTGTACCGTCTTGTTCAGACATTGTAAAAACTGTTCACAAAGACAAAAAGTCTTTACTTTTGACTTTGTATTTGCTTTGGTGCCACGCATTGAGTATTACGTGCGCTTCATCTGCCGTTTGTTCTGTAATCTGAGGTGGGAGTTTTGTAAAGTGCATTTCATAATTTTAAAAATATCATTTCAGATAAGTAAACTGATATAAAAATTACTTGTTCTCAGTCCCCTAGACTATTTTTTAACTATTTGCAACTTTTATAATAGAACTAATAATAGTAAAGCTTTACCTAATGTAACTAAACGAAAAATGGGACAATCCTTAGGGGACCTCAAGCCGAGAAGTGGCGAGTGCCTCTAAAGGTATTCCAGGCGGATGGCATCTTCCTACGGGGGGCGTCTCCTCTTGTCTGGAGCCCATAGATCACTCGAACCTGAGGGGGTCGGCTCAATTAGAGGGCGTCTCTGAGACTCGGACCTCGGCTCTAGTTAGCCGTTGTCGTGGGGGGGGGGGGGGGGGGACCAGCTGGTACTCTTCAGACGCGGATCCAACGTTGTGGGCATGTTGGGAATGCCCACAACCCTAATAGACTCGTAACGTCGCACGACCGCAACCGAACGCGCTAAACACCTGCGCCATCGAGCTACTTCTTTAGGGGAGGGCTCACTTTACCAGAATATTATTGGTGGTATGAACCCTTTATAAACTGATGTGCCTAGAGCGCCATACACAACGATATTAAATACCCTAGATACACCACGAGCGCTCAAAATGTGTCCCAATCAAGAAGGTTCACAGTCACTCAATCAAGTATTCAAAGTATTATTTTCGCATTTTTTCGCGGAGCTCTGTGGCATCTTGACTTTACAACGGACCGCGCGTTGGGAATGCCCACAGCCCTAATAGACTCGTGACGTCGCACGGTCGCAGGCCGAACGCGCTGAACACCTGCGCCATCGAGCTCCTCCTTTAGGGGAGCTCTTACTTTACTAGAATATTATTGGTGGTATGAACCCTTTATAAACTGATGTGCCTAGAGCGCCATACATTTTACATACATTACAATTCCCAACATCCCACCCACAGAACGGGAGGGCGAGGTAACCCGACGGGAGCGGCGACTTAGTCAGCTGCACTGAGGTACGCGCAGGGCGCGAGATTATATCCTGGCGGGGTGCTAGACAATTCACTTAGGTACTGGTTCCTATAGTGTCTGAAATACCTTTCGTAGCTAGTGACACGTCGTCGTTGCCGCTTCAGGCCGAGCAGCAGACGACACTGTCGACGCTGGAGCGACAACAGTCCAAAAAAGCGAGTTTCTCCGATTCTGATATACGAGTACCAAGTGACCTAATATTCCGCACTATACGATACATCCAACGATATTGGATACATCTCACAAAAGATGATAGGGATGAGAACTCATTTTTATTTCTTTCGCGTATCCGGTTGGTTATCAAAAAGTATTAGACACGTATTTTTTCTTTTTTCACATAATCAAACCATTACATAGATATATTGATTTGAAAAGTCGCATGACGTCACATTTTTGGTACAAAAAAATTTTGAAAAATGTTATGTATTCTTGAATATCTAATGGGTCCCAACTGTTAAAGTAGCTTTGTTCCTTATTAACAGAATTATAGACTACTGGACTTGTTTTTTTCTTTTCAGTTTTTATTGGAAGTATAATTAACCAGATGGATTTTTTGATTTTTTAAATTTACCTTTTTTTTGATCCTCTAACTGACGGATTAAATTTAATTTCGTTTACTTTACCCCGTCGTCACTCCTATTAAATACTGCCATAAAAGACTCAATGCCAACTGGAATACGGCGCTGCTGTCTGCAGTTGAATTTGTTATTATACCCCTGCTGCCTGTAGTCGCTTACGATTCGTATCTTAAGGAGTTACTAACAATAAAAGATATGGATATATCTGATTCAATCGTATGTATTTAGCGTGTGGCGGTGGTATTTCTGACTGGGGCGGGGGTGGTTCTGGCGATGTAATTGACTGGGTGGTCGTGCGGTGGACGCTGCAGGCGGCCCGGGGCGGGTGGGGGTGGCGGCCTGGTCTGCTGCACTGGGTTACGGGCCGGCTGCGAGATTATATCCTGGCGGGGTGCCATTACTTCTGGAACATGCGAAAAGACTACTTTTTACAAAGAAAATTTATTTTTATTATTTATTTATTTATTATAATGAAACGTGGTCGTTTACTGCTGGTTTCATTAGAAGGTTCAGGGTCACACAAGTGAAGAGAACGATGCTCGGTATTACCCCACGCGATACGATAGAATCATAAATAAGGAAATCCATAGGAGAACTAAAGTAACTGACTGACATCACTCCGAGAATTGTTCTGCTGAAGTGGCAATGGGCGGGACATGTAGCGTGGTGAACCTATGGCCGTTGGGGCGAAAGGGTTCTTGTCTTGAATGACGACTACGCACCGGATGAGGCTCAGTGGGCAGGCGTTCCCGCCAGGTGGACCGACGATCTAGTGAAAGGCACGGGAAGCCGATGAATACGAGTAGCTCAGGACCGACCGATGATATGGAGATCCTTGGGAGACGCTTATGCTCAGCTGTGGGAATCGTATGGTTGATTTATGATGATTATCAAATCTCGACACGGCACGAACAGCTGTTTATTTTGTAAAATAAAATGATAAGTAAGTGCCAGTGATGTGATATCAAACTGATTTGATTAATTATTCATTCATTGTTATGTGGAGAATTTTGGATAAACTTTATTGTCTAACCACCACAACTTACAATCCATAGTAGGTACGCTATACTGTAGTTACTGTATGTAGTATTGAGTGAGAGTGAGTCGTGGTTCATGAGCACGGAGGAAATCCGTGTTCATGAGATACAGCTCGGTGACAGACAGACGGACAGCAGCAGAGCGTTACCAAGTCGGAATTTAGGAACTTTTTGAGTGAAAAAAGCGGGATTCTTTATCGAAAGCGAGACATAGTAAAATAACGTATATAATCAAAAGTTTTTGAATATTTATCTTTTTATTTGAGTTCAAAAAACGTTAACGTGACAATAGATAGGTACCTAGTAAAAATATCCATAGAAAATGTATTTTAATAAGAATATGATATTTTAAATCAGATTTACCCTAACGTTAAATAGTTCAGCCTTTGTTTGAGAGTTCCTCATTAGTCATTCATTACGCGCCGGGCAGGCGGCTAGTCCAGAGTCCACACTTGTCTGTGGCAGTTGTGGCACTCGCCCGTGCTTTTTCAGTACGCTGCACGCACGGTCAAGTTATTCCCGAAAAGCGGGATTGAGCCTGTCCCGCGCGGGACATTTAATTTTGATTTAAAAATCGGAACGGAACCCTTAAACCACGGTATTACCGTACTTAAACTTTTGAAGGTAAACATTTTTGAGTAACTTCTTACGCAACGCACTCAATGGTCAAACTCATTTTTTACGACTAAGTATAGTTTAGTTATATCTTAACTGTGATTAATACCAACCTATCCCAAATCCAAGCCAACACAAAACATAAAGGTACCTACAAAAAAAATAGTTCCCATTTGAAAGTTCAAAAAAGTCCACGACAGCATAGTCCACTATGTTTGTTTGACTCATAAATGTTTATGGCAATCTTTGTTCTTAAACACTTAAAGCGAAGGTACGCAAAATTTTATCTCAATAGGGAAGATGCATATATAATATTTATGAAAATTTTATGATTAAAATGTTAAAAAAATATGAAAGAAATGCCACTGCAACGTTTTTATTTTACATAATGTTGTTTTTTAACAATTATTACGAATTAAAAATACTTGAAACGGAACGTATTTTAAAACACCAATCAGCGTTTAGTGACGTCACTCCTGTTATGACAACTTCTTTGAGGTTATGGTTGTTAAAGTAAATATTATTCTATGGGAATATTTATTGCGTTTTTTTTACATTTAATAAAAATGGAAGTTGCGTTTATCAAAGCAGACTCCAGGAATTTACCAAGAGTTAGGGTTGACATGGTTATAACTTTTTTTGTCCAAAGTGCAGAGTTTTTAAGTGTAGAAATGAAAGGGACTAAATTACAACGGTATGTAAAAATCGTAGTTGTTATACTTCGTATTTTATTCAGCGGCTTCTACAAATCTCACGGCGATAATGCAATCGCTATGTCCAAATTAAAAGAGATTATGTACAGTAAAAGGTCGCGTTCTCTGGAGCATAAAGTACGTAAAGAAGGTTATCGTGTTACAGTTATTTTAAATGAAACGCAAAGCTTGGTTCAGTCCTGCCAATGTGAAGATTGTGCCACACATTTTAAACTTTATCTAATTTTTGACGTCATTCTCCGACTGTAAAATTAAAAATATGTTATAGACAGGTTTTGTAAGTATTAGGTAGGTTACTAATGCGTTTTTACGTACAAGCAGATTAATTAAGCATATAACAAGTATATTCGCCGACTTACGTCAAAGTGATCTTCTCAGCATCGAATAATGGTCTTTGGAGAATAATTGTCATTTCTCTTCGCAGCTTGAAACCACTTTTTTTCAGTTTTGGGTCAGAAGTTCCAGTTAAAAACAATTTATTTGGGAACTTTGTTGAAGTAGATTGGCACAAAACATGAGTCAACACGGATTTTTTTCGGAATATTAGTGGTATTGTTATGATCACATGATGTTCATGGATAGTCCATTTTAAATTTTTCAAAAAAATATTTCGAAATTCGAAAAAATATGCAAAAGTATGAAAATTTAAAGCCAGCAACGAACAATTACGACCAGTGACAGACAGGAGTGACGTCATCGCAACCATAGGTTCGTTTTCGCGCGAAAATTTAAATTGTCAATTTGAAACCGCATTTTTTCCGATAAATCACAATGTTTTAATTTTTTAATATATCTGTGGTTTATTCTACATGGAATTCTTTAAAATGGAAACAAAAATAAAAATATTACATCTTCCCAACGAAAATTCATTTGCAAGATTTGACCCGAACATACATACATACATTTCGACTTAGTTAAATAAAAGATTTAAAAATTTTTTTTTGGTGTTTTCACTGAATCATTAAGTATTTAGTACATTAATTCATAATACAGTACTTTTAACTTTATTACCTATTTAATTTAACAACATATAATAACAGATGACCTAGCTGCATTTAACGCTTTGAAGTGAATGGTGGCGTGGGTATAGGGCAAGTAAAGCGCGACTTCGAACGGATCGAGCTCTGTGACGTCACACGCTCACGCATCCCGCCCGTCGATAAATATTAGCTTTAAATCGCAACGGATGGACCGATTTCGATGATTTAAAAAGTATATTGATGGGAAAGCTTATTGGAATACAAATATTTATTAATATATATTAATTAATATGTGGTTTGGAGTTGATTTGTTGACTTCGAAATGATCCTCATAACACATACACAATACGAAACGTATTAATACAAATCGGCACCCAGGATCATTGTTTTACTTGTTGGTATAAGGTATAGTTTTTGGGTATTTTGATGCGTGTAGGAAAGAGGAAATAATCAAAAATATTTTCCATCTGATAAACTTTAGGTTACATAAGAGTACTTATACTTACCGTTTTGTAATCGTAGTAAAATGAATGCACTGTAAAAACGAGATCTCTCGAAAACAATGAAAAATACCTATTTTATTAATTATGATAATGTCTTAAAATACTAAATTCACAATTTTTTTATATAATCGATCTATGTACTTAAAATATATTAACTTTTTACTAAAATGCACTGAAGTGTATCTATCTATATATTTTCAAGGTTTTGAAAATATTTTGATCAAAATAACTAAACACAAATCAAACCACTGACACTAGGAGATGTTGCATACGAGGTTTTGCGATGGTGTTTATCCTTATCTGGATTGATAAGATATAATAATATATGATAATTATACGCAAATCCTTATCAACGAGATTATCTCTAGTATGAGGGCGTTATTATAGACAGCAAAAATGGAACTATATTGTTTTATACATCATCCAAATTAGAAGCGGCTTTTGTTAACTATTTTTAAAATGTAAACAAATGACGAGCTGATGAAGGTCGCGGGAAGCCGATGAATGCAAGTGGCGCAGGACCGTTCGAAATGGAGACCTATGGGAGAGGCCTGGGGGCCAATCGCCTAACGGAAATGCTTTGGGAAACGCTAACGCTTACGATTTTATATTGTTATTTCTAGCCGCCTGAGGTTTTCGAATACCTCACGCTCATTTTTTTTAATATTGTTATTACCAATGCAAAAGAAAAAGAAAGAGCGCGGGGCATTTGAATACCTCAGGCGGCCAGAAATAACAAAATAAAATCGTAAGCGTTAGCGTTTTCCAAATCATTTCCGTTAGGCGATTGGCCCCCTGGGCTCTATAGGCCTATGAGGAACTCGATGGCGCAGGTGGCTAGCGCGTTCGGTTGCGATTGTTAAGTTAAGCCACTTTCGCAATGGTCGGTCATTGGAAAAAAATTCTATCTGGAGTTCCTCCGTGCTTCGGAAGGCACCTTAAGCCGTTGGTCCCGGTTGCATCTGCATTCGTTAGCACCCGCCAATACGCACTGGGTCCGCGTGGTGTTTCATGATCCATTCTCCCTATTCCATCCATAGGGAAGGCCTGTGCCCCAGCAGTGGGGATATTAATAGGCTGATGATGACGCTCAGTGGGCGTCGTACGGCAGAGATGATGTTAATGAGGAAACAAGTGATGGATAAAGGGAACAAGTGATTTTACTACAGCTCATAAGATTTGCAAAAGTTAATTTACAGTTTATGACGTCACAGCTCCTCTGTGAATTTGGAGAAAGTTGAAAATTTTGACCCGGGCATGCAATTAAAAAAGCGTTTCTAGCTTCTTCCAAGCCAGCAATCTCAAAGTTTGAAGGGGATACTCTTAAAATTTTACAAAGGCTGGTAAAGCGACACTGGAAATTTTGCGAAAAAGGTAGTAATTATATTTTTTATTATCTAAGCGTCTTATTTTAATTATTCTTCAATTCGTTCATGGAGGATATTGTGAAATTAAATTGGTGTGCTTTTGTGTTAAAACCGTCTGCGGAACTGAAGAATTAGCGAAATCTTTTAAATGTACGCTCTAATATACGATTTAAAATATATTAAGTGGACGTGAGAACTTTACTGTAGTGTTGTGTACCTCACTGAAGCTTATCGAAAAAGCCAACATGATACATTTCGTGCCAAACACTCCTAGAAACATTAGAAGGCGTCACACCGATATTCTAAGGCCGTATACAGAAAGAAAGCCGAAAGCCGATCGGCGCCTATCGGCGCTGATCCTTTTTCAATGGACCAGCGTCGATAAGCGCCGATCAGCGCCGATAAGCGCCGACACGCGCTGGTCAGCTGGTCATTATGATCTATGTTGTCCGAATAAATAATTTGTATTTGAATTATTATCCTTAGATTAAATCAATCTAAGTTATAATCTTTTAAAATCGCTAAAATTATTTGTTTCGTTCTTACCGAATGGTGACAACAAGTCATCTTCTGGAAGGATTGGTTGTTTATGCCAATTGCACCAATTTTTCATCAAACGGTTTTTCACTAAATTCAAAATGTAATAAAATGTTTCTTGAGTCATTCTTTATGTATAAAATCTCCGATCATCAAATTTCAATTTTTTTACAAATAAATGATGATATTCTCCGAAACGTTTCCTTTCTCTATTTATAGGATGTATAGCTTTTTTTCGCATTTTTAAATACACATTTTCTAACAAAACCAAAACATCGTCCGATGAGTCCAATATTTTGCTTGATCTGCTTTAATCGGCTTCCTTTATGTATACGGCCTAATGTAAAAAAAGAACCATAATAAAACTTAAGACTAGGCTGTATGAGCATTGTTCCCTTTGCCTTCCCTGAAAAAGGGAGAATCTTAAAAAAAGCAGCCAAAATTGTTTTTTTGTTCCTACACTTCACTTTCTGGAAAAATCTCAAAGATTCTCAATGAAGTAATTCGTATCGTGAATCATATAAACTGAATATAAAACAGTGTTCGCAGGGGAATTTGGTTAAAAGCTGTGTTGTGTCAGTGATTGAATTTTAGCATTTGCACATTGTAAACATAACCTGCATCGTTATGGGTTCCAATCCTGAAAATAACAATGCTGGTAATCCTCCTATAGCAGGGGCCATTACTTACCCTAGTGGAAATAGGCAGGAGTTACAGCCCACAGTGTCCCAACCACGGCAGCCAAGAAACTTACAGGTGAATAATTACAAATATTTAATGTTACCAACCAAGTTTTGTTGAAACTTATTCATGTTACGATGTTCCGCTTGAAAATTTTGATTCAAAGTTTGAAATTGTTATCCCAACAATATACATAAATACAGTATCTTTTCCACGCAATCACCATTATCCATAAAATGAATGAAAAGCCTTTTCCATTTGAGTAAAGGCTAATGATAACCCATGATACATGTTTTAATTTGTAGGGTTTACTGCGGTTTGCAATGGAAGCAACAAAAGCTGAAGATGCACCTGGTAATTCCGAGCTGGGACCTATGGATGAAGAAGTAAGGATTTATTTTTCATTTATGTGTTTGTAAAAGACTTAATGTGTGTAAAGCTGGTCTTTCACATAGTTATTTGTACCTGTGACACCAGTATATCTTTCCTTATGCTCTATAGGGAATAAAAAGGAGACTGCAATAAAATATTCTTCAATGTTTTAATAATTTAATTTATTAAAATAGGAAACCAGCAGTATAGTTTATTGTTTAATTATTTTCAAGTTCAATGTTTTATAGATTTTATCTCAAAATTTCAGAGACGTAGGTTCCTTGAGGAAGCACTGAAGAGTCTCACTGTGGATGTGGCAGAAGTGATACAGAACTCCATCAAGGCGCTCACAGACCAGGAGAAGATCAAAAGCATCAAACCTGGTGACCCATTATCTCCTGAAATCATGACAGCCTTCAGCAACCTTATGGAATTTATTGATGACATAGATGTTGCTAACGGTTAGTAATCAAGTTTTATCTTTATTTATAATATGTAAATTTCTGTATTAGTAGATTAGAGAACACTCAAAGTCCATATTAATTAGTCAAATCTTTTTTATCACAAAATTTCAATATAATTGATTTTTACTTTTATTATTTTCTGCACTTAGTGAAAAGTTGGATACCCGTCAGCTTATATAGTTGCATTTTGAATTAACTTTTTGTTTAAATAATTTTATCTACAGATTTGGAAGCACATCTTAAGGTTTCAATATGACTTCCCAGTAAAAGGTTTTTTATGTCAATTAACAATATATCAATGGCCTTATTATCTGAGTTCATATGATGTTAACATTTATAGATAAAAGTGCTTATATAATAATCAAAACTGATTTTTAACTGTCATTCCCTTACGTGTAATGGCTAATCACTTGACATTGGTGGAGCTTTAATAAGTCACAAAGCAAGCCATAATAAAAGAAGAAGAAGGCATTATGTTAAATTTGTTTGTTGTCTCCTTTTCCAGATTTCTATAAAATGGGTGGCTTTGCAATATTCCCCATGTGCTACAGCAGTGAAAATGACGAAGTGCGAGCCAACGCCAGCTGGGTGCTGGCAGAAGTATGTCAAAACAATCCATTCTGTCAGTCCCGTGCCCTGGAATGTGGTCTACTGAATGTACTCCTTAATTTACTACAGTCAGAGCAAGGTACCGCTCTGACCAAGTGTATTTATGCTGTGTCTTGTAAGTACCTCTTATTTATTGTTGAACTGTATGAAATATATTTACATGGTTGTGTGTTGATTTAAGCATCTTCCGCTATGGCGGATTATAGGAAGGGTGAACAGCATTTTTTAAGGTCCCCTGTGATTCAGAAGATATGTAAAGCCGTTAGTCCCAGTTGTATCTGCAGTTATAAGTAGGGATGTAACTATACATAATTATGCCGATACGATACCGATACCGATTTTAGTTGTAAATAATCGGCGATACCAATATCAATGGCTTAATAGATATTATTTCCAAAATGAGTTCTAAAGTAGTTTGTTTTTTAGATGGCGGACCCCTGTTGGTTTTCAGGCAGATGGGGTGTCGTATGTGTACTGATTTGTAGTTCTCGTTACGTACTTTGTGCCGCTGCGGTTCAAGTTTCCATACAAAATTTGACATTGACATTTCGGTTTGCAAACTATTCGAATTCGATAATGGTTCGTGCTAGGGGTACCGTTCATTGGGAAGGCCTGTGTCACAGTAATGGGGATAACATAGTGCTGATGATGACAATGAAAAAATACATACCATCTGTTTAAAACACAACTGTCACTTTCTGACTGATCTATCGAGACATAGCTGAAACTACCGAATTGATTGCAAAATTGTGGGGCCATGCCTTAAAAGGCTGCATCTGGAATTGTAAGCATCCACCAATCCATACTGCGCTTGCTTCATGGTCCTCTTTATGCCAACCATAGAGAAAGATCGGCAGTATAGAAAAATAAATACATATTTACAGTGCCGTCTTTGTCCTATTGGATGCCCTGGGCATATTAGGATAATGGGGCCCCTATGACCCCCGTTTGCTGATCTAACAAGAAATAGGGACTTTGTTTGTTTCTTAGGTTTTCACGCACATCACTCATTAAATAAAACTAGTGTAGTCTAGGGACTTTGTATTTTATCTGAGGTGGGACCCTATCGATCGCGGGGCCCTGGGCACTTGCCCAAAGTGCCCACTGGGAAAGAGGGGTCTGCATATATATACAAACCTTGTTCTGACAATAAAGAATACAGTCTTTGAAGAGTCATATGCATAGACACATTTCATCAGACATCTTTAATTTATATGAAGATAATATTCTTACTTTTTAGGTGCCTGCCGTGAATATGAGCCTTGTTGTCGGGAATTAGTCGCTCAAGGCGGTTGCAGTGCGCTCAGCAGCGTACTGAGTGGGAACGCACCCGCGCAAGCCCGCACTAAGGCCGCATTCCTTATACGATACCTGGTGCAGCAACACCCAGACGCGAGAGGTTCGTTGTTATTTTAAATTTTTATCTTTGTTTTGTTTGGCTTAGTAGAAGCAGGGTATAATATAGTTAAGATAAAAATAGTACTATTATGTGTACACAAAAATAAGCAGAACATAGTTTCGATTCTAGCATGATTTCCTACGCCTTGGAAAAAACATGATTCCAGTTCATTAATAATATAAAATGAAGGTACTTTTAAATGATGTTTTAAGGCTACTTTAATACACCCATGTGTCATATAGATCTTTCGATTCATACTAATTACATTGTTGGCGGAGCTGGGTGTTTTTTGCCCATTATCCTTTAGCATTAGTCTTTCCTTTTTATTCTGTACTAGCGGCCGCCCGCGACTTCGTATGCGTGGAGTTATTTAGAAATAAAGGTTCACTGCTTGTTCCCCGTAGGTGATAGCGTGACAATATGTAGCCTATATGTTGACCCGACTTCTTAAAAATATTGGTGAAAATTTGAAGTAAATCCATGCAGTACTTTTTGAGTTTATGCCAGACATACATACAGGGAAACAGACAAAAATTGTAAACACTATATTTTTGGCTTCGATATTGATTGTAGATCACACCCCAAGTATTCTTTTAAAAAAATGTTCAATGTACAGTTCTGACTTTCCTACCATTTTATTATATGTATAGACATGGGATGACAAGGATACACTGTTGCTTAGAGATTAATGCCAGAATCAACACCAACTGGTGTACAAAATAAGTATGTACATGGAAACATGACATGGATTTGGTATATTTACTTAAGAGATTGTACTGAGCCAAATAAAATTAAAGCTATGTAGATATTAATTTATAGGGGAAGCTTTAAATATTTTTAAAAGAGGATAGGGATAAAGAGATTTTTCTTCTAAAATCGTAACGCCCGTTAAGAGGGAAAAAACCTCTACCTTTCAAAAATCCACATAAAAATTATTTAATGGTAATGTGTTTCTGTTTAGTATTGCCATCAAGTTTGATAGAGTTGCTGTATTCGATACATCAGATTGCCGTATTTTTAAATAACAATCATGATATTGCCGTATTACCTAATTTTATTTAATAAAATTTATAGGTAGTTTGTAACTATTAATAGTAACTACATTATAAAGGAAACAAATTAACCTACTCATTAATATCATCGCCATACAGATTTACTAATAGACTCAAGTATTTCGCTGTCGTGTATATTTTTGAAACTGCCGCCGCACATGTTTTCTGATGGCTTGCTTCTCCAAAAGGGTTCCAGTTTCAGTAACTAACTTATTATACTGCACGTGGATTCCAAAATTGGACTGCCGTATATTATTATACGGCAATGTCAAACCTGCCGTATGCCGTATAATCTGAAAATATAAGCTCAAATTGCCATATATTATAGTAATTGCCATATAAATTGTCGTTACCTTCCCTAAAAAATGGTTGAGCGAAGCGATGGCTGGTTCATGCGTCATGCTCGTGAACGGGTGCTGCCAGCGGAGATGAGTCTGCTCTATTTAACTTTAATGGTACATTTGTTTTTATGCCTAAACAGTGGGACACGGCATTCCTAAACTTTTTTCATTTTTAAATCTGTTTTTTGTATTTTTTATTTTATAGTCATAATTGTTTTATCATTTACATTTGTAATGGAAAGTGACTTCATGGGTTATCTCATATTGAACTCATTTTTCAAATTGACGACTCTGTATATAATACAGGGAGAAAAAAACAGCCCTTGCTGAGTTTCTTGCCGGTTCTTCTCAGTACAAGGTCTCCCGCCGTAGATTTGCGAACCGATGGCGTAGCTTTTCGACATTCACAAGTGCCTGTAACAGCCTAGACTGAATAAACGATATTGAATTTTGAATTTTTTTGAATGGCAACGCTGTTTCTGTTAGTGCATAAGGGCCCATTTCTTAGACCTGGATAGGTGATAGATATATGCATATATTTAATTGTTTATTTTAATTATACAGAATATATTATCATTCAATAACCTAAATCTTTATTTGCAGAAGAATTTATACAGCAGAATCTCGTTGGGATCATAGCTAACCAGATCAAGAGTGGCCGAGATGAGACTACAGAGCATCTTCTAGGAGTTCTATCACTCCTCCTTGATACCAAAGACTACAGAGTGATGGAACAGTTAAGAGACCCAACGCTTGGCCTGAAGAAGGTTCTAGAAGATCTGTCCAGCAATGAGAACGAAAAAGAGAGCTGCCAAGACTTACTGAAAAAAGTGTTTGAAGACTGCCCACAGTATGAAGCTGTTAACGATGAAGTAGAAAGATAAAGTATTTTGATGGGGTTCCTAATTATAAGTTATTGTTCTATGAACTCTTGCTACTGATCAGATAACTCATCAGTGATTGTTTGTAGATTAAGTTTACATGTAAAGGTAAAAAAAATACTTATGCAGAAAACATCTATCTTAACTACTAAAGTCTGCCATGGCATGAACGCTTCGCTCGCTCAGCTTTAGGGTCACAATATTAACCGAATCCAGTGATTAATTTAAGTGAAATTTAGAATTCTTAATGGCTGTATCTTTGTATAGGTCATGACAGTTGATACATTTGCTGTTATTTCAATTCCACGTCTCTGTGAACACAAAATGAAATTGGCGTCTGTCTTGCGTACTTTGTGGTATTATTACATTTACTGCTATCTCAAATTTTCATAATCATTAAGAGAATCTTTTGTATACTTAGCCACATAAAATTTCAATTCATTTGAAGAATTTAACAGTTTTGCATAACTTGCCCTGTGGTGGAGTGTACACTGCTGTCATGGACTTTTGTAACTTCTTAAGACTTGATGAAGTAGTTATCTGACAAACGTATCTGATTTCGAATTGATAATAATATTCTTTGTTGACCTCACAGAATATATAAGGCATTAAACATCACAGTGAAAACGTACACAATAGGCGGCCTTATTGCTAAACAGCAATCTCTTCCAGGCAACGAATTTTGATGTATTTCGTCATGGTAATGTGAAGATTGCGATGATTGTAAGTTGCAAAAGCATCGCCTAATTCCACATGAAGAAGAGCTTTACTTGTGTGTATATTATAATTTTTATATTATATAAATTCCAGTTTTAGTTTGAAAAGAGAAAAAACCTCAAGTCAAACCTGTAATACCACTTTGGTAATATGTAGCCCTAGCCACCTAATCTGATTATTTATTAATCACTAATAATAAATAACAATACCTACCTAAAATACCAACGTTTTATTGCAAAATCCCGATATAGACTAGGGTAAGTGTTCCAGTGAATGAACAGCCCCCCCCCCCCCCCCCACTTAATGAATAAAAGTGAGCTTTTTCAATAAAATAAGAAAACTATAGATTTGCACTAAACAGTAGTGTTTTTACAAGAGCGCAGGTTCAATTACGTGATCTATTCAAACAAAAGTTTTTCAATGAACCGTAATTACAAAACGGTGACTAGTTGACGCGCTGTGTTGCGTCTGTGTTTGTATGAACAAGAATTAAGGGCTTGCTAAGACACTGCAGTTTTGTATTTAAGCGTTGCTCACGCTGCATGAGTGATTTTGTAAATAAATATGCATAATAAGATAGAGCAATGTTTATTTTAAACAACAGAAACCAATTTGTTAGTATTTTTAATCAAATTATAAGTTTATATAAGGGGTTGCTCGATTAGTAGATCATAAGAATGAGAAATTCACCTTAATAAACGGGTTCATTCACAGGTTCTAGACTTTTATTACTTTAGGCTGATTTTAATACTTCCTGTTAACGAAATTGATTGATTATTTATAAGCAGGTTTAATAAATAATAATCTTTCTTTGGGCCAATATTCGAAGCACCATTTTTCTAAACCAAAAAAAATAAATTTTAGTAATATTACCAGGTTCACTTACTGGTTATTTGGAACCAATAAATCAACATATAGTTGATATGTCCGGCTCGAAGGACCGAAATGTGTGGGACAGTCAGGTCTCTCTAATGATGAACTCTTATATTTGATAAGACGTTTAATTACGTATAAATTACAATAAAATTAATGATAGAAAAATTTGTATGCGTATTGTGCGTCTCGTACAGACAGTACTCTACAGCCTACAGTACTTTGTACATCTAACATACATGATTATTTGATTATATTAATCTTAAATAACAGAAATCATTGATCTATATTTGTTCACTCCAATCAGGCAATCAGTGAAATATCAAAATCTCAAATGGCCCTGATAAGCACTTCCAATTCACTACCCATCTTGAGGGAGTACCCCAATCGCTTAATGGCTGAGTGGGGTGGTACTTGTCCGCAGGGCCGAATTTAAGGCAGGGCAGGTGGGGCTGTGGCCCAGGGGCCTCCACAACAGCTTAAGAAATAACAACATTTCGATGGGTTAACAAGAATACAAATCCTAAGTGGCCCGGGGCCTCCACAATCCTTCTGCGGTCATTTGTGACTATTCTTCGCAACTCTGAGAATCACCAATGGCTTGGATAGGTTGCTGTGTAGCGTGACCCGCAGCATGGGTAATTTAGAAGTAACTAACAACCTCGAGACAAGTCAATTAGTCATCCCATTCGATGGTTAGTGTTCTGAGGATAAAATACTATCCCACCCCTCTTTCCTTCGTAGAACCACGCGCGATGGCTGCGTTACCATATACCGCACCATACCGTATATCAGCTTATTATACTCGCAATTTCAGTGCGAACAAGGAAATTTGGTGCCTCATTTCAACATCGTACTATTCGCAGTTGAAATTCTTTGCCCGCGGACGCTCCTACTAACTGGAGAATTTCAAAACAGATGTGAAGTAGTATTTTAGCAGGATGGCAAATAGTGGATTGCTGGTGTGGCAGGTAAAACAGTTGCAACAGTCAGTCTTCGCGTTTGGAGTGCACCACCACCTAACATCAGATGGGGTGGAATAAAAGGCCTATCTTATTATAGGAAAAAAATGCTATAGACATAAAGTTTTCCATGCCATTCAATAAATTTAAAATAAAATATTAAATTATCAGGAAATAGTGATTTCTAGCTAAATTAGTATGCAATGCTAAACGTTCATTCACTGGAGTACGAATTCATGCACTGTGTGAAAGTTCGTACAAGTGAAGCCCGATGATCGTGTTATCTTCAAATAAAAACCGCGAAGATAGGACACAATAAATATATTCTTTAGAAATACAAATTCACACAAATTAAATATTTTACTTATTCACAAAATTAAACCTTGACATGAAGTCACAGAAAAATATCACTATGACAACGAACAGAAAAAAAAGGTATTTCTATTCAAAAAACCTAACCGGCCAGCCACTGCTAATCGCAACCACAACACACTGCAGATTTTGGGTCAATTTGCAAAAATCTTTATTATTTCATAAATTATGTCCATTAATGGAATATTGACCATGCTATAATAAAGTTGAATATATTTTTAATTTATAAGAGTAGCATTTATAGGGCCCACGCCCAGTCACCCTGAAGTAGGTGTTTATAATTCTTAAACTTCCAAACTGCCTTAAGGTTTCATTCATTGGTTTCTTTATGCTACAATCGTAGATCAGTCTTATTCATAGAAATCCATAAAAATAGTCTTTTGCGGCAGATTCATAAGAACCACAGTGGGTCTTCAAATGTGAAAAAAAATGGGTGCGTGTACTTATGTATGCGCGTGAGAAGTTATCCTTCTTTGGCATCGTTTAAAATTAGTTTTTAATTGCATGCAAATAATTAATTACAATAAATTAATAAAAAGTCTGGAAAAGGACGAAGTCAATAAAGCTCAGTTTTAATTTGAAAAAATAAATAAATAATCAAAATATTCAATTAAAATCGCTACTGAATATAATTTATTAGAACATATGTGATTTGCACTTGTATGAAACTCAAACACGTATTCCGAATATACAAACTAGAAACATGTGGATAAATATTATAAATATGAATACCTATAACTGTTACTTTATTACAAAAAATAAAGATGTGGTTTTTGGTTCTACTACACCAATGGTCAAGAGACGGCGCTGTAGTCTCCTGAATCGCGCTTTGGTTCCGTTGTTCCAGATTAATAAATACTTTTTTCATCCCACCACCTCGGAAAGTGTAATTTTGCGCTTCGAAATCTGGCTGGAAAATTCTATTTTATTCGCTTGAGCGGCAAAGTAGATTTGAATTTAGAACATCACATATAATGAGTACTCAATATAATTGTAAATTCAAAACGTCATTAAACCTATTTAATGTAACCTCTATGGTGCCAAATTTATGATTAGAACTTTTTAAATTGTGAAAAAATTTAAATTTGGAACCTTCTTGGTTTCTTTGTTTTATTTGCGTGCTTCGCGCCATTCTAGTTTTTCACGTTTTATTGCTTAAATATTTTGTCATTATAAATTGTTTTCTTTTTCATTTTGTCATTTCCTCGCTGAGGTGGGATGAAAAGTTACGTATTGCACTCGAGTGGAAAGATTTTTCACCTTGTGCTCGTTTGTTTCCCTCGCTGACGCTCAGGATTCTAATTTAGAATCACTCGCTGCGCTCGTGATTCAACTTTAGAATCCTTCGCTTGCTCGGTCATCCAAATCGAGCACGCGGTTAAAAAGGAACTTTCCACTCTTGTATAATAAATAACTATTGTTACTTTATTACAAAAAATAAAGATGTGATTTTTGGTTCTACTACACCAATGGTCAAGAGATGGCGCTGTAGTCTCCTGAATCGTGCTTTGGTTCCGTTGTTCGAGATTAATAAATACTTTTGATAGGCCTTCACAATGCAGTCGTTAGTACCACTAGCACCCACTAAATAGAGATTCTATTTCTATTTTGTTGGTAGATTTTCTTAATGTGCGGTAAACACAAAAGTAACGCATGAAGTTGGTCGCTAAAGCGACCAACTTCATTATGTTAAAATTTTGTGTTACAGTGATGCGCGCGCATCTTAAAATTTCACTCTCATCATTTTTTCATAACGCGCCTAAAGAAGTATAACTTCAAAAACCAAAATGGGTGTACCTTCTTCACGGAATTTGTAAAGGTAATCTTTACTGTTTAAAAATCCTGTGTCATGGCGGCACACGATAAAAACAGGACTGAGTACTATTGATGAAATAATTTTCGAAATTTACCCTAATACAGAATCCATATGGTTCATTTTGCATTGTCTATTGCAAAGAGGCCCAATCATGGCACAATAAGACAGTCACAACAGAGGCCTAAATTCGAAGAAATTGTTCCTTTCATTGGGAGACTGAACATCATGAATCTGAGAATTAGACCGGACGACCAACATCCAAGATCGTGTGAGTGTGTGTGACACTTATATATCTTGTATGCTGCTGGTGTATAATACATGAAGTGTGATCAAATGAAGATTATTATTAAGTACGTAAATCCCTAAAGGACACTTTATAATTATTTACAATACACAGGAAAGAGTAATTATTGAAATAAAAGTTTTGCTAATATATAAAAGGCTTAATTCACCTTACATTATAAATGAAGGCTTTTTATACTTTTTAGCTCCGATTTTAGCCGTCCGTTAGTCCAAAATAAATAAAAATATTATTATTACATTTTAGGCAGTTTAATTGTTCAGCCTATAGCTTCTTTTTTAAAAGCTGTACTTTGACATTTAACGTCATTTTTGATATGGACATGACAATTCATATCCATCCATACATCTCTTTGTTTCTGTATTGCATCATCGTGGCCGTAATTTTTTTGATAAAATTTTGTAAGAATCTCAGTGGTAAAATATTTCAGTGTTAGTTTTGATAATAAATAGCGATTTTAAATTGCACAATGAGTCCGTGGCCCGAGGTATTGACGGCGAAGTCGGAGAACAGGCATGAAATCAAATTGGCGGGAGGTAACATTTCGAAACGAATTTCTGAAGAGGGTTTGGATAAAAGTTTGTTTCAATTAACTACTTTAAATCTATTAAATATTAGCGATACATGTCTAACTTCCATCCCGGATGAAATTAAACTTCTTAGTAATCTACAATCACTCTTATTATTTGGAAACAAGTTGGAGATTTTCAATGAAAACATAACCTCTTTAACCAAGTTGAAAGTGCTTGATTTGTCTAGAAATCAGTTGACTGCAATTCCAAACAGTTTGAATAACATGAAGGAGTTGACGAGTATTAATTTTAGTTCGAATCAAATTGAAATTATGCCAAAGCTAACTGATTTTCCCAATTTGATCATTATTGATGTGTCTAACAACAAATTGACCGATTTTTTGGATGTCGAAAATGCGAATCTCCCTCACCTCACTGATTTAAAGCTAAAAGCTAACTCGATAGAATGTCTTCCGAGTAATGTAGCACAAAGCTTGGCATCAGTCAAGAATTTCGACATGGGAGATAACCAGCTGAAGGTGATACCCGGAGAGCTTGCTTCCCTGGCGAAATTAAAAGGTTAGTCCTCAAATTCCACTTGTATGAAAGAAAGTGATCTTATGTTAGGGTTTGAAATTTTATTTTTGTCCACTAAAAAGTAAAAGTCATTGCATAATTATTTTCTGAATTTCACAATTCATTTCAATAATATTATAAGTATCAACCTGAGTGTGAACCTTGATTAACATCATTTTTCAGAGCAGAAGTTTTTGTTATAATTTATTTTTGGTGGCTGTATTGTTTTTGAGAATTTGGAATCTTTATATTCTAGTTTAAAATCCATTTTATAACATTTTCTGTGGCGTACTTGATAATTTCTGTAGTAGACTTAGTTAAAAAATACTATAAAAAGAAAGCTTTTGGTTGTAAATATGTTAGATATTTAATTTTTAATATTTTTTCCATTATGCTTGTTAGTTAGTACTAATTCCAAAGTTCTTAAAATGGAATTGCATTAATTGAAAACAAAACCATGTTTGATTATCATTAAATAGGAATTATTTCAATGTTTATAACTGGATTTGTCTTATTTATAAATAGAAATTAATTTATTTTTTCCTTTTTAATAAATATCAGGGTAAAAATACATTTGCATCTTCTTCCAGAGTTGAATTTAAAAGGAAACAAGTTGTCTGACAAGCGTCTCATGAAGCTAGTTGACCAGTGTCGTACCAAACAAGTATTGGATTATATCCGTGAACATTGCCCTAAATCTACTCAATCCCAGCCTGCTGCTGGGAAGGGCAAAGGGAAAAAAGGTGCTAAGAAACTGGACGAGTCGCCCCCCGAAGATAATATTAGTGACCTTTGCCATTCACTTAAAATTTTACATGTAGAGGATGAGATACCAAAAGTGAAGATTTTGGAGTCGGAAGTGGGCCCTGTTCGTCCATACATTTTATGCTGTATCGTCACTGAAATGTACATGACACCAGCTCTTTTCAAGAAGTTTATTCAAATGCAGACCAAGCTGCATGACACTGTGTGTGACAAACGTAATGTTGCAACCATAGCTACACATGATATGAGTAAAATTGCACCAGGTACGTTGTGTAGACTAAAAGTTTTATCTTGCAAAAATGATATTGTGTGTTTTTTTTTGTCAAATCAAAGCTCCTTAATTTCTTGTTCATTTAGTTTTTTAGGTGTAATGCAATGTGCCTTGTATTTTTGCTATAAATAGCACTAAAAAAATATCGACTTTGTCTTTAATTACATAGAAATGGAATCTACTGCAGTTAATGATACTGACATTGTATATATTGACAGAATTAATCATTCAATAAATTTCAGTGTTGCACCGAATGTGGGTTCCACCAAATTTTTCACTGTTTTACTTCACTTTTCTATTTCTTTTTAAAATTAATTTAAGGTACCGACTCGGTAGATCTTACCACAATTCGGCCAAAGACGAATTTGGTTGAAGCTGCCAAATTTCGGTAGTATTGAATGTGAAAGGAATTTCGGTGCATCTCTAATAAACATTTTTGTGTGTACTTCCACAGGTGACCTAGTGTACACAGCAAAAGCACCTTCAGTATTGAAACTGACTCCATTGTCTAGGCTAAAGGCTTATACAGGGGAGCAGCTGTTCCAGCAGCTGACAGCTGAAGCTGATGCTTTAAGGAAAGAGAAGAAGAGGAATGTGTACTCAGGAATCCACAAGTACGATCTATATTGAGAAATATTTTTTTAGTAAACTTCAACTTGCATACTAACCTATTTTTTCAATTGGTTACTGATGTGAATTTTCACGGCATCTGTTACCCCTTTCAATATTTACTCTTACCTATGATTCTTTTAAATTTGTAAGTTTGTGATATAATTTGAGCTGACAGACCACCTGATGGTAAGTGGTTAGTGTCCATTAATTTTTTGAGTGTGTATGCAGTTGGTCGTTGATGACCTTTACAGCGTCACCGGGTTTGGGGACGGCGAGATCCTAGAGGTATTAGATATAGAGGTATTAGGCGGATGGCATCTCCCCACGGGGGGAGTTTCCTCTCCGTCTGGAGCCTCTAGACCACTCGAACCTGAGGGGGTCAACTAGAGGGCGTCTCTGAGACTCGGACCTCGGCTCTAGTTAGCCGTTGTCGTGGGGGGTGAGTGACCATGGGCAGCAGTTATCACTTACCATCAGGTGGACTGTCAGCTCATTTATCTGAGTAAATATTAAAAAAAAATAAGCAGGCGTAAGTACTCCTTTAAGGTGCTATCTATGGCCAGTAGACATCTTTTAAAAATCCAAAATGTTCATTGCCTCCGTCCAGATTGTGGAGGGTACGGGTTCGAATCCCGTCTGCTGCTTGGTCCGCGTGGAATTTTTCTAGTAAAATTTTCATTAGATTCTTCATATCTAGCAGTTAAATGCTTAAAAATTCAAAAATACCACTAGTATATATTTATTTGTACACAGTAATTTTTTATTATCCTCTTTGTATTTCAGGTATCTGTATTTATTGGAAGGAAAGCCGAAGTACCCCTGCTTAGAGGATGCTAGCGGCAAGGTCATCAGTTTCCCACCGATCACCAACTCTGACGAAACAAAGGTGAGTACCTCTATGAAAGTATTTTTCCATGTTTTCCAAAAGCAGATAAGCTAAATGAAAATAAATTTCATAACGAGTGTGAAGATGAGTGTGTCCCAAAGAAAATTAAAGTATGCACAGTTGGACTAGAGTGATTGCCAAATTCTTCTAGTCTGGTTGTGGCAATCTTCTTCTTCTTCTTGTAGCTTGTGGCGTTTCCGCAACTCGACGTCCTTATGGCGCCTGTTTTGCGTGAGGAGGGTGTATGGCCGTAATCACTCCAACCAGCCCAGCTCCCCCAGGAAGCCCCCAGGGCCTTCACATTGGTGACTGCCTCTTGAAGGTTTCCCGGTGAGCCGAGGTATTTCGCCCGGTATTCGGTCACTCCGTTGCATTCCAGCAGAACGTGAGCAGCTGTTTCTTCTGCCTCCATGCATCCTCTGCATAGGGGGCTGTCTGTGACACCTAAGTTGAAAAGATGTCTGTTAAAATGTGCATGTCCAGTGATAGCACCCGTTACCATGCGCAATGTAGGTTTGCTTAGCTATAGGAGAGTTTTTGAGAAGGCAGCGTTCACCTGTGGCAAAGCGAGCTTGGTCTGCCTGCACATCTCCAGGTCGAGCCAGTATTGCTGGTGTAGTGCGGCAGTGTGCTCGCGGATTTTATTGACGAGACAGCTTATCGGTATTGGGACGATTGGTTCAGGACCTGTTGGGGTCGTATCAGATCCCTTCCGGGCCTGCTTATCCGCAGTGTCGTTTCCGCGTGATGCACTGTGTCCCTTGATCCATTGGATGGTAATGGAATTGCTTGACCCTACCTTGTTTAAGGTTTGGTGGCATTCTTGTAGGAGGCTCGATCTGACTAAACAGGCATCTAGAGCTTGTAGGACTGATTTGCTGTCGGACAGTATTCGTATTTCCTGACCTGTTACCTTTCTTGAAAGGATCGCTGTTGCCGCCAGTGTGATGCCCATACATTCAGCTTGGAACACTGTGTTGTATGGGCTTAAGGGGAACGCGATGTGTATTTTGAGGTCCTCAGAGAAAACACCCGCGCCCGTGCCCGATGAGCTTTTAGAGCCGTCGGTGTAGATCATGAGAGCTTTGTGTGTTACCTTTGGATCGTTGTCATCCAGTAGATGTATTCTATACTTTTTGTCAAATATGAAGGCGGGTATTATTTTGTCACATGCAGCATCTATGAGCGGAGTGTTTACCCATTCCTTCAGTATACCGTTGAGATGCCTTGCTCTTTCGAACCTTACCAGTCCAAACTTTTGTAGTCTCAACGCTGTTTTAGCCGCTTCCTGTCTTATGTAGATATGGAGCGGTGTGATATTTAAAATAACTTCCAGTGCTGCGGTTGGAGCTGTACTCATGCACCTTGTCACCGCGCTGCATATCTGCCGCTGGAAGCTTTGTAGTTTGTTGACAAAAGTAGTCTGGATAGATCTCGGCCACCATATGATGGCGCCATAACTTACCATTGGTCGTATGACTGTGTAATATAACCATATGAACAGTTTTGGTGCAAGACCCCAGCGCTTCCCTAACGTTTGACGGCATTGCCAAAGTGTTACGCTGGCTGTCTTGATTTTGTGTTCCACATGGTTACTCCAGTTTAGCTTACTGTGAAGTATAAGGCCTAGATACTTTACCTCCTTCGACAGTTGTAGTGTGATACCAAACAGCTTCGGCAAGTTGAAAGCACCTACGTCACGTTTGGCTGTAAACATTACCAGCTCTGTTTTTGTTGGATTAACTGTGAGGTCGTATTTCCTGCACCAGCATTCAACCAGTTTCAAAGCACCTTGCATGGTGTTACAGGTAATGCTGGCGTGGGTGCCTAGGGTAAGTATAGTAATGTCATCTGCATACCCTATGGTGTAGTAGTGTTCGAGTTTAGCTTGGTCAGCAAGTCGTCAACTACGAGGTTCCACAGAAGTGGCGAAAGAACCCCTCCTTGCGGACATCCTCGTGCCACCAGTGCTCCTCTGCTGTCCTCACCTTTTACCCGAACTATTCTATTGCGAAGCATGTTAACTGTCCAGTCAATGATTTGTTGCTCCACTCCGTGTCTTCTGAGAGCAGACTCAATGCTGGTGAAGTTGGTCTTGTCGAAAGCACCCTCTATATCGATGAAGGTTCCGAGGCAGATAAGTTTATTTTGAAGGGCTTCTTCTATCTTACCGACTAACTGATGGAGAGCCGATTCAGTAGATTTACCTGAACTGTAGGCGTGTTGATGTTTATGTAGTGGGGCATTGATTAATGCCTTATATTGGTCGTGGCAATAAAAGTTTTTCAACAGCATTTAAATTATGACTAAGGCGCATGTTATTTCTTTAATTTTGATATATTTATGTTCATCATTCCATGGGTTATGATAGTAGCTTACTATTAGACAGAGCATATGTAGCTTTAAAGAAATTTTTACTAGAAAAAATTTCACGTGGACCAGGGAGCAAATCTCACCAGCCACCCATGGCCAGACTAATCTTCTTGGTTATGTAGCCCGAAACAGCGGGGGATATGCGCGGAATGGCCTCCGCCCTAGATACACCACGAGCGCTCAAAATGTGTCCCAATCAAGAAGTGCTTGAACTCCACTCAAGCACTTCTTGGTTCATAGTCACGCGCGGACCGTTACAAAGTCGAGATGCCACAGAGCTCCGCGAAAAAAATACTTAGAGTACGAAAAGTGTCGTTTTTTTCGACAGGTCTAGTGTTGTTGTTTGTGTGTTGTTGTTAATTTAACGCATTTGAAGTAAATTTTGATCTAATACGTACTATAAACTGATTTAATATAAAATATTTGTTATATTCAAATGCATACGTCGCCATATCGCCGTCTCTTTTCCTCGCGGTCCGTGCCTGCTATATTGCTAACAGCGCGTTTCGAATTACGCGTAGAGTCAAAGAACTAAGGTCTAAATTCTTCCGCATATAGCAATAAGTCGTAAAATTTTACGAGCTTGCATTTCGAACTGTCAGAAGTCCTTGACGCATGCGTTTTATCAAAGACCTTATACAGTATGCATTAAAGGTAACTTTCAATATTTAAATAATGCCCTATATTGATTTTGACTACGCGATCATCTTACGGAGCTCCATGGATCGTTCAATGTACCTTTTGGACAGGTTTCGGGCACGATTTTGTTCGTGTTGGTGTATCTAGGGTATTTAATATCGTTGCTTGACTCCCTACAAATTATTCTTTATCTATCTCCTTGCCCCTATGGGCCCTCTCCCCTTTCTGGGGCGGACGTACACGAAACGCCTTCGTCGCCATCCCAGCCGTCCCGTGGCCACTCTGAAGTGGTACAGCTGGCTCCAAATTGTACGGTCCTCTCTTCTTTCTTCGCTTCGGGTCTTCTTTCTTCGCCTCTCGAGTGGATCCGAACCCTGTGCCATCTACGCGCGAAATCCCGCAGCTGCCTGAAGTTCGCCTCCGATCCCACAAAGTCGCAATTGCAGACAGCGGACTAGGGAGAAGACGGGATTTGAACCAGCACCCTCCGCTATCTGGGTGGATGACCATTACATACAAACGAAAACACGACACGGCCATCAGAGCCGCGGTAGTATCATGGTCAGCCATGCCTGGTCCGCGTGGAATCTAGCAGTCAAAAATAAAAATTTTAACATACATAGAGTGAAAAAGGAGGATACCTTTGTCACTCTATGTATGTTTAAAAAAAATGCTAATAATATGTTATTTTTTTTATGTTTATGTAATTTATGTATCATGTTTAAAAAAAATGCTCTATTGCTCACCGAAATCACTAACCTCAAGAATTGAGCAGTCCATTTGATAATATTACAACAACACAACTTATATTTCTATTTTTATATTTATCCCTTTAGATGTCAGCAGACACGAAGAGTATGCTATTAGAGGTAACTTCACACGCATCGCTAGGGTCATGCAAAACGGTGATGAACAAACTATTGCACGAATGCTTGCTGCTCGGCATCGGTGACAACCCCGACGAGCCAGATGCGGCTTATCACACTCTTACTGTGCAACAGGTACGAATTTTTGAATACTTGCGAGACGCTATCCTCCTTATTAATAAAGAAGGATTAAGCTTAGACTAGTTAAGCCGTGTTCTGTTCATGACACTCAAATGCCATTTTTCATTCAATAGATAGACACAAAACTTGGAGTAACTAATCCAAGCATATTCTTTGTTTATTAATAATATCCCCTTATTAATAAACAAAGACTACGAAGGTAAAACGTTTAAAGTTTACTAAAAAAAATCTAAACTCTGCCCAGGTTTTTGGAGGCCGAGTTGAAATTCCCTAGTATTTTTTTTTAGCCCTAACATAGCTGTATAAAAGGACATTTGAACAGTTTTAGAAAACGATCTCGCATTTGAATATCACAAATATTTTCTATTAAACCAGTTTATAGTAAGTATTAAAACAAAATTTGCTTCAAATGCGTTAAATTAACAAACACTGATGTGATATCTGTCGAAAAAACGACATTTTACATACTATAAGTATTCATTTCGCATTTTTTCACGGAGCTCAGCGGCATGTTGACTTTTCAACGGTCCGCGTGTGACTGTGAACCAAGAAGTGCTTGAGTCGCGTTCAAGAACTTCTTGATAGGGACACATTTTGAGCGCACGTGGTGTATCTAGGGTGTTTAATATCATTGTTAAGAAGTCTAAAATCACTAACCTTACAGGCCTTCCCAATGCATGGAATAGGGAGATTGGGCCATGGTGGGTCATGGCGCCGGCGCCGTGCGGATTAGCGGGCGCTAACGACTGCAGATGCAGCCGGGCTTAACGTGCCTTCCGAAGCACGGAGGAACTCGAGATAGAAGATTTTTGGTCACTCATCCAATGACCGACCACTGCGAAAGTTGCTTAACTTCAACGATCGCAACCGAACGCGCTAACCACCCGCGCCATCGAGCTCCTCACACTTGTATGCTCAGTTGTAAATTACAGCTGTTAGACTCCGCTCAGTTCATTTTCCGTCTACGGTCCCCTATAGATATATAGGAAACCTTTAAACTACACATATTCTTCTTCATCATCAGCCTATTAATGTCCCCACTGCTGGGACATAGACCTTCCCTTTGGACGGAATAGGGATATGGGGCCATATTCTTCTTAATGTGGCTAAAATAAAACTTAAAGGAGTTGACTAGCAGATTAAATTTTATATTGAAGTAGCAGCTACCCACATTATTATATATTTTTGTTAATTTTCTCCATCAATAGGGATGATGACTAAATTTTTTTTCTTTGTTTATCTAATAATAATCTACCTGAGATTATCAAAAAGTATTGGACACGTATATTTTCTTTTTTCACATAATATAAACATTGCAGAGATATATTGATTTGAAAAGTCGCATGACGTCACGTTTTGGCACACTTTTAAGTGAGAATTCTCAAAAAAGTGACGTCACGAGCCCCTACTCCCAAACTTTGACGCGCTATAACTGTGTAATTTTTTGGTTGATTGCCCAAAGAAAAAATACGTGTCCATTATTTTTTGATCATCTAACTGACATAACATAACTAACATCTAAATAGAATTTCGTTTACTGTACCCCGTCATCACCCCTATTGGAAAGGAATATTTTCGTAAATATAGCACACCTAAGCGGGTAATCTAGAAGTTACTTAAGAGCGGACGCGAGCTGAGAGACATTTGAGAAATAGGTATTTGGAAAAACTTTTTCCGTCACGCTTTGGCAAATACCGTGTGAAATAAGGACAACAGTAGTTAACGCTGAAAATTGCGTATAAAAATTGCGAAATTCGAGGTTTGGCTCTCGACAATTTCCTCCTCGAAAATTAGATATATGTGAAAGAAATTTAACACAAAGAATAATAAGTAGTTATACTATGCCTCTATGTTTTTAATTTGTTTGTAAATGCTTATTAAATCTTCACACTAGACGTCTTTAGTGGTGGTAAAAATTGTTTATTTTCGGCCTTTTTCGAGGGCATCTAGTTGCTTTGAAACACAAGTTATCGAAAAAAGGAAAACATCGGAGCATAGAATAAGTAAAATTATATTTTCTTTTGTTTGGAAAAAACATTGTGCGCCTCCCCTCTTAAGCCACACAGTAAATCTCCCATTAATAAAATGTTATTTTTCACAGATGAAAGTGGTAGATCTAGAAGGCAACTTAAAAAGTGTTTACCCGTCGCGTACTGACTGCGTCTTCGAAGGCACGAACGACGTAAAAGTGTTCCGATTGCCGAAGAAATAAGCGCTCTTATTTACAAAGCAACAGAGTACATATTGTAGTGTCTCAAAGAGGTACAGTCGGCAAAGATGATAGTTGAAGAAATCAATCGACTGATTAGATATGGTGAGATATTTATTCTGATTATTGTATGGAAACAAATAATAATATGTATTAGTAAAGAGTTCTTGATTTTGTTTATATGTATAAATGTGTTTACTAAAATCACAAGTATTTTGACATAATAATGACCAGTCTGCAAATTTCAAATATGATTTAAAAATGTTTCAATGAAAGATACATGACATACATTGACAGCGAAAGCTACTGTTTAAAATAACAATTTTTACAGTAAGTACTTTATGCCACACAGGGATGACATAACATACCTCAATGCGACGTATTTAGGTGCAGTTTAGCACGAAGTCGCGGTTTAAGTTATTATCAATGTAGCTTTTGTACACCACTAACGTAAAAAAAAAAGTTATAAAAGTATGGTGTATAAAGGAACATTGTTTAGTTTACGTTGTAGATTTTGTTTCTAGGCAGATATAATAAGGCAGATGATTTTTCTCATTGGAATATTTTTTAATTATAAACAAAAACAAAAAATTAACCTAAATGCTTTGCTGACTGTACGATATTTTTTCATCTCTATTTCCAAGTGCTTAAGGTTGATTATTACCTTCGACAAAGTTTTGTGTGTTGTTTATATTATTTTTTATTAAAGCTTTTTGTTACTGACGTATAAAGTCAAGATCAAGATGGTGCCACATCTGTTATGTTTTTCATAATTTACATAAAAATTAGCCATTTCTGTTTAGTTATCAATGTCAAAGATTTTTGTTTCCTGATTTAATACCATAAGGTGCGAAAATTACGCTTAATTATTTGTAAGCTCGTAAAACGAAAGTTTAATCAATTATTTGTAAAAAAAAAACAAATGTCTTTCATAGTTTGAAAGGAAAATAAAAAAGATATTTCGTTAAGACCTATGTTTTCATTGCGACTTTATATCATAAGCCTAATAAACGTAAAAATAATTGATTTTTAATACCTACATTAATTGTCAAACTGTATGTCATTGGAAAAAATGCAGTATCAGATATATTCAATTTGAAAAAAATGCATAGAAACTGCAAGACCGACTGCCAAGTGCTTATAACTAAAAGTATACTGCAACCTGACTAAAGTTACCAAATGATCAACGGCAAAAACATAATACTTTGAAAATCGATCAGGATGAAGTACCTTAATTCTTTAGCATTCTGCAACTATACCTATAACCGCTTTATGAATGAGTTCACATACTACCTATGGCCATTAATGCATTGCATATAATTATACTTTGTATGAAATAGAAAAATCCTTACTCGGGTAAGTGCTTTAACATTGTAATCCTTGCAGTGTAATGTGATGCCTTCACTTCAATTTGGTATTCGTGTTTGTTATTTGTAAACTTAATATCGGTCTGTCCTTTTCATTCCTTATAAAGCATGATAAGGACAGACTATTGTCAAGATTGCAAATAGCAAATACGAATAGGAAATATGAGATACAACTTGCATTACCCACCGCTCTTGTTCATTACTGACAGTAAGTTAAATTTACATATAAAATAAGACTACCGCAGTGGACATAGTTGTTTTGAATATCGTCCTTACAACCTACGCAATAAGGATAATACAAAAGTCGGTTCAACCCGCAAATATCTGTGTATATTCTTGTAAAGAAATGTTTACCTATTGAAAATGTGTTGTGTTCGTGAGTTGAATTGACTGGACATTCCATCTTGCTTCATAATTAATTTTATATTTGAAATTATGTGGTTTACAGTTAACCATGAAAGTTCATAGTTTCTAATTTCATTGTAAATCTTTAAAAAGCTAAAAGTCAGTTGGAGAAATTTGATAGTTTGGATACTACACTTACTTGGCGCTGGCTTTGTCCAAGTATCTACAGAAATATCACACCAATTCTAAATTCACAAACTATATTCCTTACTTATTCGGCCAAAATGTTTTGGATATATTGCAAAATAAATTTTATGGAAATGTGACGTTTGGTTGTTATATTTCTAAGAGATTTTTTGTAAAATCGTGTTTGAAAAAAATAACTTCTTTAATAAAAGGCCATAAAAAATAAAATACACTCGGTGTCAAAAAAATCGCACCTCCGCGAAAATAACCCATTTACCCCCAACAATATTGGTGTCATTTGAAAGCTTATTAAAAAAACTAAAAAAAAAATTGTTTTTTATTGGAACAGTGCAAAAATAATTTATACAAAACAATAAAAAATCTATTGTTATTATATTTTTATAATAATATGTGGGGGTGACTTAACATTTATTTTAATTAGACTGTCAGTTGACCTAATTAGTCCTTTTGGTTTTTCTCATTTATTGAATACTAGTGGCCCGCCCTCGCTTCGCTTCGGTGCAGAGCTATAGTGTAGACTAAAATGCCTCTTCATATAATTATAAAAAAAACTAAAAATGGTATATTTGCCTTTTCCAAACTTCTATTCACATCACGTCACTCAAATGTTTTGCTTTCCCAGAACCTCTCCACTAACATTTGAAATTTATGGTATGGTATTAAAGTTCAAATTGACTTTTAAGTATTATTGCGAATCGTTTGTATGGGAGTATAGAAAATTGCTGTATTTAGACTTTTTCAGGCATTTTTTTTTATTTTCCCCTGTGTAAGAACCGTCCTCGTACTTCAAGGAATATTTTAAAAAAAGAATTATCGAAATCAGTTCAGCTGTTCTCGAGATTTGCGCGAGCAACACATTCAGCGATTAATTTTTTATTATAGATTGTTTGTGTTTTATACCCACAAAAGGTAGCGCAAGTAGTGATTTTTTTTAGTTTATTTAATGGGCTTTCAAATGACGCCGTATTGGGTGGGGGTACATGTTAAGGTTTAATAACGCTTGAAAGTGCGATTTTTTGATACCGAGTGTAGTATGGAGTACACAATAAGTACTATTGTTTTTTTTTCCATTCTTGAACGTCTTCGACCAAAGTTTTAGGTGCGACGGTTGTCATCCACTTTGTATTTTTCTTGAAAAATGTTGAGTTTATTTCTTGTTTTCTGGACAGTGTTTAAGATACCCAAGTGCTTTAAAGTTAAGTACAGTGCGACAAGCATCTTTATGAATGCGAGTGACAGTTCAGGGAGGGCGCCACTGTCTACGCAAATGACACACAAAATATGACGATTACAAAGACGGCGGCGTTATTTCCAAGTTTCGGCGCATTCATATAGGTCCTTGTTGCACTAAATAGGTTTCATTTTTAAATTGTTTCTATCTGTGATGTTAGGATGTGTGCTGCGCATCGAAAAAACAGTGAAATTGTAGCGATTTATTGTTTTAATTTTTTTATTAAACTATTTTTGTGATAATGTTGTTGTTTTATTTTTGTTATATTTTTTAAATACAATTTTTTCCCTTTCACGGTGCGATCTATCAGTCACATATATATTATACTAATTACTGAAAGGTTATGGGTAATTTTCAACTATCCCGGTAGTATCAGATAGTTATCTGTACCCCTAGCACGAACCAATATCGAATTCGTATCGTTTGCGAGTCTGAAATGTCATTGTCAAATGTGTACTGATTTTTAGTTCTCGTTACGTACTTTGTGCCGCTGCTGTTCAAGTTTCCATACAAAATTTGACATTGACATTTCGGTTTGCAAACTATTAGAATTCGATAATGGTTCGTGCTAGGGGTACTGTACCCTTAGCAAGAATCAATATCGAATTCATATCGTTTGCAAGTCCGCAATGTTATTATCAAATATGTACTGATTTTTAATTCTTGTTACGTACGTTATGGCGCTACTGTTCAAGTTTCCATACAAAATTTGACATTGACATTTCGCACTCGCAAACTATTCAAATTCGATAATGGTTCGTGCTAGGGGTACTAATGTATGTGAGAAAGATTCAAAAGATAAAGGTTGTTGAAATGACTTCCTGATTAGGGCAACTTGTTTTGTTCAAGACCCGTGTAACCTTACGTCATTGGTGATTAACTTAGCTTAAAAGATAAAATTTCCCTTGATTAGGTAGGTTATCTGAATGTAAATGATACGTAAACATTTTGGTAAATACCAGTACCTACACGGCTTACAAAATCATGAACGATTCATTAAGTAATCAATGATGGATAGTTGGTATCTGAATGAAACATTTCAATTCAGCAAGTTTCTGGTCTGTTTTTAAATACCAGATTTATATATAAAAACGCATCCCTATTGCCGCGTCACGTTATAATTTGAGAAAGTCATTGGTGATTTCATCCTTTTTTTTTAAGTTTCCAATTTGTGAAGGTGCATAAAAAAAAGATGAGTCTGCTTATGACCACACGACTGAAGTGAAACTTCTTTAGCTCCCTCAATCCTATGACAAAGACTCAAACTACGCATTCTGCACCCAATGTAGTAAGCAATTTTTTTGTTTGCATGATTAATAACATATTGAAAATAAGATCTCACGCCTCAGGTGAGGCTATATTTACCGAGACGGATTTTACGTGCTGACCCGTTATCTATAGTATTGTTGATCGAAGGTGTTGCGTTTCTGTTGGTGACCATGTGTTTTGGGGCTTCAGGCGGTGGGAGATTGGGATCAGTAAGAATACCGACTCGCCCTCGGCGGCCATTTTGCAAGTTAACGTCGCCATAGGTTGCGGAGCCGAGTTTGTTGCGGGTTCTATTCTGTAAAAATAATGTCTACGACACAATAAGTTTTGAGGTGGATATTACATCAGTGAGGCAGGAGAACCAAGCATTACACTGCACAACCTGTAATGATACCACAGAACATAAATACAAGGGCTCGCTTATAGTCGATTCTGAAATTATTTATCAGAGAGGCAGTATTGTAACGTACCTAATGCTAAAAATCCAATCTAAAATGTTGTAATACATTAATGGAGCAAATACATTATAAAATAAATAAATATTTTCAACACTCACGCCTAGCCCCAAAGTAAGCACTGTAAGGCTCGTGTTGTGGGATACTAGGGTAACGGATAGAATACATATATAAGTATATTTATATAGAATTACATATTTAACATCCATGACTGGAGTACAAATGCTCCTATTCATCATACAAACATCGGCCCCTACCGGGATTCGAACCCGGGACCTGTCGAGTCGGCAACGCCATGAAACCCGGTGTACAAACCATTCGGCCACGGAGGTAGTCAAAAAAATCTGCTTTTCATATACTGTTTCTGCATTCATTAACAATAAATAACATCCTTAGTCCGGCCGCGACACGTGTGTGTCGTCGTGTTTACTGGTAGCTTGATTTTAGTTCCGCTACTCGCCGTGTTGGCGCTGTTGGCAGTCTGCACCACCGGCACCACCCCCCGCTTCCTCTATCAGTGATTTTAATTTATTTCTTAGAGTAAACGCGATAGAACATCTCCTTTTTTTTAGCAATGTAATCATGGATACAGTACATAGGTACAGGCAAATGTTCCTGGTGTAGGGACACCTAGACCCGTACATATTTTATTTCAATACAAAAACATAGCATATTACCCTACCTAACCATAGGTTAGGTGTAAATGGAGTCAAGTCGAGAAGATAGATGATGGGACAGTGAAATGTACCGCTTCAATCTTCTTTAATTCTCCGTGCTGAATCCAATTCCGGAGACCTGGAATGAACCATCTTCACTGACAAAAACCTTGGATATGGACAATTTTCATGATTTACGTACTTAAATATATGTACTTATTAATTAGCAGTTTTTTAGGACAGATACCTTATCTATGGTATCACACTTTACATGTATAAATTAAATAATTTCAATAATTGCTTGCTGTAATTGTTTTCGTGATGTGGCGTGAAGTTGTGTTTTTGGTGGCGTTGGCCGGTGCATCGGTAAATAAGTTGTTAAATTAGATTTAAGGTAGAATTAGTAGGCAATACGAATATCTAACCAACGTCAAAGAAATTGTTTACAAATAAATAGTATTTTTGAAACTTTATTAAAATTAGGTATTATTAAAATTGGACTAAATTTTGGTCTTTTTATTGGATTAAAAATAAACTAAATTAAAAGTTTTTAATACTGATAATTCTTATGGAAAGGTACGATTTCAAATTTAATAAAGGAATAAAATTAAATACAGTAAATGATAACTTATTTCAAGAAGTGGTTTCTTTGTATTTTGGCTAAAGATTTTTACATTTTGTATTTTATTCGCTTGATGCTAATAAATATATAAGTACAACAAATATTTGTTCCCATCATACCAATAAATGCCTCATCAGGATTCGAACCCAGGTCTTTGATAGGGTAGAAAGCAGGAGCAGTACCTACCTACCTACCGTTATACAATTGCACCCAATGGATTGTCAAAATAATTCCAAAATTAATTTTATCTTATATCTTCCATCTTTTAATAAATAAGTGCCTTAAAAACATTTATCAATATTTTTATTTCAATAAATCATTAAAAAACTAGATTCATTTAATTCCTAATCAATCATACCAAGTTATCTCTGATTAAGCTAGCAAGGTCGCGTTTCATATTATATGAGCCTAATAAATCTTTTCATATCAAAATTAACTAGGTATTTACCTGTAACGAAATTGATTAGTCGCGTAAATGTATGTTATCTTTTTAATTTAGTTATTAATCCGATGGATTAAGATTTAAAAGTAATTTGTGGCCACCGTGAAAATTAGGCAACTTTCACAATCAACTCCGGATTTAGGGGAGGGCAACCGGGGCGAAAGCTCCGGGGCCTCCACAAACGGGGGGCCCCCACAATAGAGACTTAGGAAAAAAAAATCTTTCAAATTCCAACTAGTAAACACTAGTAAACATCTTTCTTTTCCTTTGATATTTTTTTTGCTCTTTTACCTTTAGCTACAGCACAGTACTTTGTACATCTAACATATAACATACATGATTATTTGAATATATTAATCTTAAATAACAGAAATCATTGATCTATATTTGTTCACTCCAATTAGGCAATCAGTGAAATATCAAAATCTCAAATGACCCTGATAAGCACTTCCAATTCACTACCCATCTTGAGGGAGTACCCCAATCGCTTAATGGCTGAGTGGGGTGGTACTTGCCCGCAGGGCCGAATTTAAGGCAGGGCAGGTGGGGCTGTGGCCCAGGGGCCTCCACAACAGCTTAAGAAATAACAACATTGATATGGGTTAACACGAATACAAATCCTAAGTGGCCCGGGGCCTCTACAATCCTAAATCCGGCCCTGTTCACAATGGTCGCCCAAATGGTCGTCATCATCATCATGTCAGCCGTACGACGCCCACTGCAGAGCATAGGCCTCCCCCAAGGATCTCCACATCAATCGGCCTTGCGCCACTCGCATCCATCGGCTTCCCGCGATTTTCACAAGATCGTCGGTCCACCTTGTAGGGGGCCTGCCCACTCAGCGTCGTCCGTTGCGTGGTCGCCATTCTAGAGCCTTTCCGTCCCAACCGTCATCGGTTCTTCTAGCTACGTGTCTCGCCCACTGCCACTTCAGCAGAGCAATCCTTCGAGCGAAATCGGTTACTTCGGTTCTCCTACGGATTTCTTCATTTCTGATTTTATCGCGTAGGGAAATACCGAGCATCAATCTCTCCATTGCTCGCTGTGTGACCTTGAGCTTGCTTATGAGACCCGCAGTAAAGGACCACGTCTCGCTTCCGTAGGTCAACACTGGCAATACACACTGGTCAAAGACTATTCTCTTGAGACACTGAGGTAATTTAGACGCGAAGATTTTCCGAAGCTACCCGAACGCTGCCCATCCGAGCTGGATACGACGAGAGATCCATTTCTCAATGTTGGACTAACCTTACTGGACTGTCTGTCCTAGGTAAACGTAACGGTCAACAACTTCGAGTGTAGTGTTCCCAATTTTAATTGGAGTGGGTACTACATGGACATTCGACATAATTTTCGTCTTTTCCATGTTCATCCTAAAACCCACTCTTTGGGAAGCACTACTAAGGTATTAGAGCATTGTGTTAAGTTCTTGCAAGGTCTCAGCTATAAGAATTACATCATCGGCGAAACGAAGGTGCGAAAGGTACTCACCATTAATGTTGATGCCTCGTCCTTTCTAATCCAGAAGTTTGAAAATATCCTCAAATGCAGCAATGAACAGTCTGGGAGACATCACATCTCCCTGTTTCATGCCACGCTGCAGTTGGATAGGATTAGAGCTCTGCAGGGCCGCATTTAGGATTGTATAGGCCCCGGGCCACTTAGGATTTGTATTCTTGCTAACCCATCGAAATGTTGTTATTTTTTAAGCGTTGTGGAGGCCCCTGGGCCACAGCACCACCTGCCCTGCCTTAGATACGGCCCTGCGGGCAAGTACCACCCCACTCAGCCACAAGATGGGTAGTGAATTGGAAGTGCTTATCTGGGCCATTTGAAATTTTGATATTTCACTGATTGCCTGATTGGAGTGAACAAATATAGATCAATGATTTCTGTTATTTAAGATTAATATAATCAAATAATCATGTATGTTAGATGTACAGAGTACTGTAGGCTGTAGGTAAAGGTAAAAGAGCAAAAAAAAAAATATCAAAGGAAAAGATGTTTACTAGTTGGAATTTGAATGATTTTTTTTTCCGAAGTCTCTATTGTGGGGGCCCCCCGTTTGTGGAGGCCCCGGGGCTTTCGCCCCGGTTGCCCTCCCCTAAATCCGGCAGTGGAGCTCTGGTTCTGTGAGGTTGGTTGGCTGCGAGACGATTCGTAAAGACTTGAAAACATCTTATAAACATGATTAAGAAGCGATATTGGTAAAAAGTTGAAAAAACAAAAGTTTTTATGTAACAGTATTTATGGGCAGATTAGTCAGTTATTTGTAACGATCTTTGAACCTATTGTAGGTATTGTTGATCGAAGATAATAATACAGTGATGTCGATTCTGGCATGATTCTCTAAAGCTAAACTTAAATTTGATAACAGAGCATCCCTATCATTCTCTATACAGAATGAAAAGGAGAGACTGATGTTAAATTTAGTTTTAAGTTTAGAGAATCACGCCAGAATTGATACCAATAATTACTTTTCAGGCTTTGGCTGATGATCCCCTTACCTTCCCAGAATTAGCACGAGGAAGAGGTTAGTATTTTAGCGTTTTTTTAATTTAATAATTAAGTAGCTTTGTTAACTGACGAGTAACTTTTTTAATTTTTTTTTGTGTCTTGCGTTACGTATTCTATAGTATAGACATTTATAAGTTTTAAATAGGTAATTGAAAATTTTGCATGTTATCTTTTTAAGACTAAATAGGTTAAGATACAATTAAGATGAAATGTAACACCATTCTTTGTACCCTATTTAATGCAAATAAATTGAATTGAATTGAATTGATCCCTGACCTGGACAAAATGAGCGGTGAGGAGTCGCGACTAATTCCCGTTGCAAGGAAAGGGTTTACCAGAGAAAAAAGGTCTAAATAACTTTGCTTTTCATCAACATCGGCTAAAGTTGGCACTGCTGGGGTCTTCCCTTTGGATGCAGTAGGGAGACGGGCCGTGGCCGTGCCGATGATTGGTGGGTGCTAACGACTGCAGATGCCGATTCCAAAGGATTTACGTACATCATTGCTTAGCTTTCACGATCGCAGGCCGAATGCACTAACCAACTGCACCATCGAGCTCTTCTATGTTTATAGAGTATATTTTTAGCTATTGATTATATCCAAAGAAAATTGTACTAAAAAATTACACGCGGACCAGGCAGCAGACGGCAGAATTAAACATCTAGCGGTTAAGTGCTTAAAAATAAAAAATATACATACCTATTGATTATATTGTTCGTTCAGCCAATACTCGCATCGTGTCGGGATGGGAGGCTAAGGAGGGCCAGTTGCCGCACCAGCTGTCGCTGAGGATGGTCAGCGCCCAGGGGCAGGTGTTCAGTTGCGGCGCCTCCATCATTCACAACGAATGGGCGCTCACGGCTGCTCACTGCACCGCACAGTAATATAGAATTTCATTAGCTATTTATTTCTTAATTTATTTTATTTTAAAAGGGTGGCCAACTAGCTTTTGCCCGCCTGATGGTAAGCGGCCACCATAGCCTATAGAAGGTTGCGATACAAAAATATCACTCGTATAGGGATGAAACAATACGAGTAAATACAAGTAACTACTCGATACTTCTCTTTCGATACCAAGTACTTTTGGCATCGATACTTTAGAACTGAGTAACAAGTAGTATCGTAAAGTAAGTACTTGTATTGGTACTCGGTCCGTCACTCACTGAGAAATATAAAAAAACTCATAGGCAGATTATTTACTCTATGGTAAGGTGTCTAGTTGGAATTTTTGTTTGTATTTATTCCAATTTATTCAGTCAGTCATTCGTTCATCGAGTAGCGTGAGCCGATATTTTGTATCTGTTAAATTTAAACTGCATGAATTTGTAATTGTAATATCGTTCGTCAAAATTTACGATACAAGTAAGTATCGATACTTTTCATACTATACCGAGTAGGCATCGATACTTTATGACCGACACAGTATCGAGTAAAAGTATCGATACCTAGGTGGTATCATTTCAACCCTGCACTCGTACCGTTGCCCTACCCTGCCCCTACCCCGTGGAGCCCTTACCTTACTCACCATCAGAAACACAACACCACCAAGAGGTAGAGCTATTTCACTATGTTCATCTGTATGGTGGAGGTTACATCCCCAGATGGGCGTTCCAAATCGAGCGGACAATCCGGAATGCCCTACCTCTCTTTACGGACACCAATCTTTTTACAAATCATCACTCTTCAAACACGCTCAAAAAGTGTTTTATAAGAATTATTTCCACTATTTAATAAGAGACATAAAGCGGAGCGGGCATAGCTACTTTTGACATGCTCAAATTTTGTGAGGCTGTTTGGGAAAGCCGCATAACCTTATTGGACCCCGGCATCCAAATTTTGTGAGTTAAATTGTCGGAGCGGAACGGGGTAAGGTGATTGTTCATTTGAAAGAAATATGAAAAAAAAAACATGCAGCCAGGGCCGGACTTACAGGTGTGGGGCAAAGAAGGAGTGGAGTCCCCTAAATCAGGGCCGGATCACTTACGATTCGCACCCCCCCTGGTTTGGTGATCGTCGAAATGTTTTTTTCCTGTTGTGGGGGAGGTCAAGGACATGAACTTCCTAAAAGCAAGTTGGCCGATGTCGTGAATAAGTTGGAGGGATCAAACAACACCACCTCGCGACGACGTGAATTTTAATTCATTTGTGGTGAGAGTGTCACTGAACATCAGCTGGCTACCTTTTTGAAAGAGGAGCTTTGGCCGAAAGGTGTGGTGTTCCGGCGTTTCAAAGGCTACCTGATAACACTCTGCGCCACTGACTAAACGTGATACTTCAAATTTTGAATTATGTTTTATATTTCATATTTATGATAGACTAAAAGGTATATATTTATATGGGCCTACGATGCCTGAATACAAATAAATAAATAGCTAGAATGTTGGAAGCTGGCGTAATCTAAGTTTTTTTGACACACCAGCAAGGGCGACATATAAAATAAAGCAAATCTTCCATTTCTTCATCAGGCGTGTTACGATCATCATCCGAGCCGGCACTGTGAACATGACACGGCCAGGAACCATTTTCGAGACCACGGAATACATGAACCATCCTCTGTACGACGAATCGCAGGCCGGCAGAGTCCAGCCGAACGATGTAGGCCTTATCAAGTTTAACAGGCGGCTTGAATTCAACGGTAAGTTCACCTATTCGCTTTTCCGACATGAAGAGTTAGATTTGCCAGGCGTTCGGATAAAGCCGGACATAGTTAGGCTTTTTGATTGCAAGTCAGGCCAAAATAAACGGTGTCCGGCTTTTGTTAGGCTTTTTACATTTCGGAAACGAGCGAGCGCCGAGCGTGGCCGAGCCCAAGCGAGTTGACTCTCGGACGCTTTACATACAATTTTTGGAGTTTACTCCTTAAGAATCGATTTCCATATATAAGGGCCCGGTATGAGAAAAATGTGAGGAGTAAAATCTATCGATGAATGACCTCGTTACGTTTTTGGTGCGCATCCTATGTCGCGCAACTTTGACAAACAAAGATGACGGATTGACATTAATAAATAATTAATATATATATTTTTAAAATCTGAATTGAATTCAGATATTGTTTAAATAATTTACATGTACTATTTATAATTGTACGTAAAAGATTTAGTGACATAATTATCTTTTTATAATCATTTTTGTTATTTATTAAGATAATATTATATTTTAAATAAAAAATTAATTATATGTAAACTCCAGTCGTGCGTCTGAGCTGACACACACAATTTTTTATCCTACCTAATATTACTGAGCTACAAAATCGTCAATAATGTAGGCTGTCCGGCTTTTTTTACCCAAATGTCCGTCTGTCCGGCTATTAGGTATGGCCTGGACCTGGCAACCCTCTGCAGAGTAATAAACTTTGTAACACCCTTATGAAACTTAAAACTCTCTAAAGAGAATTTGTGCAGCACATACGAACTTCACACAATTTTCTTTTGTATTTTTACTAGTAATACGGGGTAAATTAAATGAAATTATATAATATTTAGTCCGTTACATTATTAAAAATAATAGACACGTATATTTCTTTTGTCAATCAACCAAAGGATGACATAGACAAAGCGCGTCAAAGTTTTTGAGTCTCATGACGTCTCTTCTAAGTAAAAATTGTACCAAGATGTGACGTCATGCGACATTTCGAATCAATGTATCTGTAAATGTTTTATTTATGTAAAGAAAAATACATGTCCATTACTTTTTGATACCATCAATCAATACGAATTTTGAGTTCGAGTTCTTTGTACTAGATTTTGATTTCTTATATCTAATTAATGTAAGAAACAATAGTATACTATAGAAAGTAGGTACTGTACCCCTAGCACGAACCATTATCGAATTCGAATAGTTTGCAAACCGAAATGTCAATGTCAAATTTTATATGGAAATTTGAACAGCAGCGGCACAAAGTACGTAACGAGAACTAAAATTCAGTACACATTTGACAATGATATTTCGGACTCGCAAACGATACGAATTCGATATTGGTTCATGCTAGGGGTACTGTACCCGTCGTACTAAAAGAGCACTAGCCGTCCTCAAGCTAAAATGCGGCCAAATGACAAAACCAACTTTTGAGATATGGCCAAAAAACGGCGCGCAAACTTTAAATTATTTCTATTTTGTAACCATTCATCACATGACGAATTTTAAGACCTAAACTATAAAAGATACGAATACTTGTTAAAGACAGATCGATAGAGAATTAAAAACAGTAAGTATAATAAGATACAATTTAAGACTGAAAAATCGACCACATGTCACTTAAGGTGGGCTTTCGTAGCGAGCGACAGCGACACCGCGACAGAGCGTCAGATAGAATTTATATGTCTTAAAATCATGGATTTTAAGACATTCATTGCTATTTTGTTCACTGACGCTCGCTTCGAAAGCCCACTTTTAGCCGCACTTTAGTTTGAGGATGGCAGTATAAATAAAGTTGATGAAGCAAAAAAAATATCTATCTGGCTGGACAAAAACAAAACTGTCCATTTACATACCTATATTGTCAGCTTCTACTTATTTTTCAACTAAATAATTGATGCATTTTCTCTAACCCGATAGATCGATGTTTGATACTGAAAGCTAATATGGTGATTTTTCCTACAGAACGTATCCAACCAATCAGGATCCAGCGTTCTGTTGATAAAGACAATGATTACGACGGAGATCGGATGACGGCCAGCGGTTGGGGTCGTGTATGGACCAATGGTAACGTAGACATTTAAATAACATAATGTAAAGTTATAAAGTATTTTTTAAGATTAAGAAATGTTTGGGCTGCTTTTCGTAATTCGTCTTAATATTTATTGCTACTTACTATTACTGTTCGAACCATTCGTTCAGCTTTCGTTCCCAAAACCTTTTCATTTTAGTAACGCCTTTTCTTCCTAATCAAGGTCTTTAAATATGTTTAGTGGCTCCTTAAAAATTGGTTCCGTTGTCACCATAGAATAAATTAGTACTCGAACCGCCCCGTAACCTTCTTATCATCAGCCTATTAAAGTTCCCACTGCTGGGGCACAGGCCTTTCCTATGGATGGAATAGGGAGATTGGGCCATGACCCACCACGCGGGCCCAGTGCGCATTGGTGGGTGCTAACGACTGCAGATGCAGCCTGGACCAACGGCTTAACGTGCCTTCCGAAGCACGGAGGAGCTCGAGATAGTAAATTTTTTGGTAACCTATCCAATGACCGACCACTGCGAAAGTTGCTTAACTTCAACGACCGCAGCCGAACGCGCTAACCACTTGCGTCATCGAGCTCCTCTCAAGTCCACCATAAATGCTTCAGTTGATAATGATGAACTACATTATTCTCCAAATGTACCTACAGTCTGATAATAAGGCACAATTGAACAGAGTCAACCAAGCCTTTTCACTAGAACGTGAAGTTAAGGTACCAGCAAAATCAACCACAGTAACTCCAAAAGGACTACCGATGTTAACACAATCTGTACCCTTAGCACGAACCAATATCGAATGCTAGTACGAAATGTCACTGTCAAATTTTGTATGAAAACTTGAACAGCAGCACCACAAAGTCCGCAACGAGAACTAAAAATTACAGTACATATTTGACAATGACATTTCGGACTCGCAAACGTTACGAATTCGATTTTGGTTCGTGCTAGGGGTAGTGATTGTAGAAGTAGAATGGGAGCACTAAGTGATTTTGCATGAAACTGTTTGCAACTTATGCAACAGATGTGAATAAAGCGAAATATACCTAGGACCACAGAATACAGAAAGAGGTTAGAAGGGCCTTGTGGGCGGGGCAGTCGCCACAGTTATGTGGAAAGTAAATGCTAACGTGGATCTGATTGCGTCGTTGCTCTCGGATGTGAGCCCCGATTGGTTCGATTGTTTGATGTCGTGTCGTTTGATTGGCTATTATCTATTAGGTGGAAGTGTAGTGGGGGTGAGCCGGTGACATCGGTTCCTGCTGGGTTCTGTGCTTAGGACCAGTGCCGTTGAGAGCGTTGGGCTTATTCGATAATGGTTTTTGAAATCATAGCCACCGAACTATTGACCAATCACTATTGCTTTATTATAACTACACAAAGAGACTTGTGCTGAAAACCTTAAATAGATAATTATGCAATTTGCTCTTTAGAGCAAGCGCTCATTGAGCCACTAGTCACTAGACGCAGCCACCGATCACCGCCGATAATGGCAGCCACTGGAACTTGGTTTACGCTATACAAAATTTATGAAAAACCTCGAAAGCAGCTTGTTTTGTTACACTGTAAACAACGATAGATACTCGTACGTTAACTGTAAATGATAAAAAAGTTAGCGAATAGGCCTACTACTATTCTCGAAAATAGTTAAATAGGTATAGGTAGCTGTAGTGGCGTAGTGTGGGTGTCGGCCGCCCGGGGCGAAGGACAATTTTGCCGCCTTCTTATTTAAATGGTTTAAATATTTTTTATTATTTATTGTAAAATTTTGCCGCCCGCATTTTGCAAACTTCTTGAAAGAAAGAAAGAAAGATTTTTACAGATACACAGTACTAAAACAAAAGTAGTAGATAACAAAAAAAAGGCCAACTAGGTCCCTGCCTCAGCATAGTACCATAGCGACGCCAGGGCCGCTGCGAAGCTGATATTCTTGAGCAAAACCATAGACAAAAAACTTGTTGCTCGAGAAGTTTCCCGGGTTACAATCCGGTACACCTATACTACAAGATAAAATAAAAATCGTAATTAATATTCCGCAGGCGCTGCCCCCGAAAACTTGAACTGGGTGTTCCTTCGCGGAGTCACCAACTTTTTCTGCTGGTGGTCCTTCGGAGGCAGTTCGATCATTCAGCCATCGACAATCTGTGCGAGCGGTTACAATGACACTACGCAGTCCACATGCCAGGTTAGTTAGAAAAATACATATATTTTCTTTTTTGAGAGTGTATGCTGTTGGTCGGAAATGACTTATACAGCGTCTACGAGTTTGGGGACGGCTAGAACCTAAGGGGACCTCAAGCCGAGAATATGCGAGTCCCTCTAGAGGTATTCCAGGCGGATGGCATCTCCCCACGGGGGGAGTCTCCTCTCTGTCTCGAGCCTCTAGCCACTCGAACCTGAGGTGGTCGGCTCAACTAGAGGGCGTCTCTGAGACTCGGACCTCGACTCTAGTTAGCCGTTGTCGTGGGGCATAGATAATACCACCATGAAGCACTATTATACTAGCGGTATCTATCTTCTGTGAAGTGAAGGATATTTCGTTAGGGCGCTCCGATTCGAGCGAGAATTCCGCTATACCTTAACTCTCTTTTATTGTAATGTTCCAAGGTTCAAGTGCGTTGGTATGTTTGTTTGTGTTCTGTTATTCCAGCATAACTTCTACTAAAACTCGAAATTCCTAAACAGATTTTGATATAAGAAGTCAAAAATGCTGTGGTTATATGAAAACATGATGCAAGTGAATCTTTACCCATAAAAATTTAGTTGATATTACTTTGGTTTATAAAAAGTGGAAAAAAACTTTCACACACAGGCGAGCTTTCTACCATTGAACCTTCCCTGCTTGTTGACAGGATCTGAATTTTTATATTACAATTAATGTCATGCGACATGCGACGACACTAAAGATGAGCGACAAAAATTTAAGCGATGTAATAAATGTTTACTGAAATATTCCAAAAATATCTACACCTTCGCCCCACTGCATTAATTACTTTGTTAGTATTTATCTTCGTTCGTACGGTTCGTATATTCTTACCTTCGATTGTATACACAGCGGCACCAAAAATATCTACTACATATGGTAGATATGAATGATATACATTACCTAATACGACATTAAATATGTATTCGTCTGCTCCGCATGCTATGTCAAATATAAAAATATACAACCATCTACAAAATAGTTTAAAATGTACAACTGAAAATAAAATATTTGAAAAACAGCTTAAAAATTTTCTAATAAATAAAAGTTACTATAATATTACCGAATATTTTAATGACAAATTTTATAATTTAATAAATACAAATTAATAATAATAATAATTACTTCAGAATTATAAATCTACCAGTTAAATGCTTAAAATAAATTTAAACATATTGTTCTTTTTCAACTGATGTATTTGTATTTTTGTATTAAATATTATTATTTACTTTTATGTATAAATAAATTGCAAACAGCCTTGCAGGGTGTCACATGTAGTATATAATATGTTATTTAATTGTCATCTTTTAACCATGTGACTATGCAATAAAGAATTTAAAGGAGAATGGGCAAATCCGCCTAGATTGCGCTTGACGCATTTATGTATCAAAAATCTTCTTCTGAATTATCATTTCATATGTGTGTTTATTATGTAAATATTATGCGGATATTTAAAATAATAAATAAATGGCTATTAAACTGAGTAAATAACCAATAACCATAGATAAAAGTTGTATCACCTGGTCGATACTATCGATCGTAGAAAAAAAAATCGATTATATTTCTTTATTTAAATATTCTTAACATAAAAAACGAGTGTGCTTATGACTACACAACTGAAGTGAAACTTCTTTCATTTACTAGCTGTAAGAGAAAAAGAGAAAGAAAATGCGTGCGCGCGCTCTTGCTCCTACACTGTGATACAGACAAAAGGCTTGCACTGTGCTTAGATATACGGAACGTATTTGGCTATGAGAGGAAGAGAGAAAGAAAATGTGCACGCGCACTGCTTTCTCATGCTTACATCCCCCACTCAACTCCCGTTCGCCTCGCCCGATCACACTACGTTCGCTAGCTTACTCCCCAAGTCAAGAGTGCGTAAAGAAGTTTCACTTCAAAAAGAAAAAATAAAACGTTTATTATAATTGAAAGCATAGAACAATTGTAAATAGCCTGAAACATTTTTACCAAACACCGTAAATGACTACGAAATAATGATCATTCGTTAATTCGTAGTCATTTTTTATTTTGAGGTCTTCGATGCGAGTTGTTTGATTTTTGTATGGATCGATGGATAGATTATTTTCCCCAAATCGCCTATTCAGAGGGCCTGGTTTCGAATTCCGGTGAGGCAAATGTTTGTATGATGGATACGAGCATTTTTACCAATATTATATCATGATAAATAACATTAAATTCATAAAGTTATCATTTGTAAGACCTGTGTTGTGACAATGTCACTGTACCTACCAGGGATTGCTCTCTTTCATTGCATCTAAAAACTAAAAGGAACTTAATGGGCTGCGCAAAAGAGGATTTTTTGTCTGCGGACTATTTTGTTCATCAAACAGTAGATCGCATACAAAAACTTTTATATGTGTACTCTACATATTATTATTCACATCTTAGATTAAAAAAGGGAATATATTTTTGTTTAAATTATCAGTTATGTTATATATAATTACTTAATCATATATAAATTAACTCATGGTTTGAACATTTTAAGCATTTGCATTGAAAAATAAAACATTTATTAATCGATTGTGTAGAAATCGATTCCTATAGAATCAAATCGAAATATATACCATAGGCAAGTGAAGTAGGTAGCTGTCAACTTGTTGTCAACGTGTTTGTTGTTTGTTCCGGTGCAGTTTTCAATTTTGAATTGAATTTGTGTTTTCAGTGGTCTATTGTGGCAGAATAGTTTTAATGTTGAGTTGATAATCCTCCGTTAATAACTGTTTTTGGGAAAGAGAGCATTGGACTCGTTGATTTAGTGTTAAGTTACCTTTAGTGATTCTAACAGAGATATTTGGACTCTTAGTTCATTGTAATTATTTTTGTTTACAATGGCATCTGGTGTTACACAAGAAAACGCAGGCAGTATGCAACGACGTTGTATTAACTGTTAACAGTGCCACGACGACAGCCAGTACATTCTTTGGACATGCTATCCAATTCAATGCTTAATGTTTTAAGCTCATGGATCGCACCTGATTCTGTTGTAGAAAATCCATATTAAGAAGTCGATCGTACAGGGTTTCACTACACTGTCCAGAAAGAAATATTATTCTTAGATGGACTCCAGCACATCAGGTATGGTATAAGATATTATTATCAATAATAAATTATTAAAATTGATTTCAATGCTAATTAAAACATGACTGTGACATTATTATTATTATTGCATTGCATGATTGAAATGTTATATTAATAATAATTTATTTAAATTGATTTCAATACTAACTGAAACATGACTGACATTTTTTTTTACATTGCACAATTGTCATGTAGTATATTAATGAAATTGATTATATAATAACTAACTCAATCATGACTATGGTATATAAATAATATATATAGTTTTTAAAGATTGAGTTCTGGATAATACTGCAACTACCTATAAGTATTTGCATGTTGATAAAAGCGACAGGTCATGTTGGTTATATTTTTGAGATCTGTATAATTTACCATATCTTGTCAGTTAAATGATTTATTATTATTATTATAAGAAATATATTTCTATTGCATAAAATAGTTGTAGATGGTTTTTCATTAAATTCAAGTTCACTTATCTTTTTTATAGGTGTCAAGAATTTCAAGAGTTTGTGCTGCCTGTTGGCAAGCAGCTAATAGGGAAGTGCAAAGGCAACAGTTACATGATGCGAATCGGTCATCAATTGAACAAATTGATGTAGAACCAACAGAGTCTGTACCAGTGATCCCAGTACCACCACCATTTCCCGCTGGTCTATTACCTGTTCAGAGCTCAAGACCTGTTATACCTAAGATACAGTCATCAGTATATAAGCGTGCTGAAGCCACTTCATCGAGTTGTCTGTTTTCAGGATGCCGGGAACAACAATGTTTATTAGTACCCAGAGTAATAAGAGAAATGTTATTAATACATAATAAATTCTATGTTCCCACATGTTGTAGAATATGTCAACATCACTTGAATAATGGGCGTTGGAGTGATTTAACATCAAATCTGCAAGATTTTACTGGTGTACAGTTTGATGCCATTTTGAATATAATGCAGAGAGCAGTTTCCCATTGTTTCGACTTTGAAAATATTTCTGCAATGGCTCCTTTCTTATGCCATTATTGGCTGGGAATGAATGCTGAACAGTTTGATGAACTCTTGGCATGTGTACCAAGCTTATTACAGAGTGTCAAAAATCCCCGTTTAGCACTCTGTATTTACATAGTCAAGTTAAGAACTGGGGACAGCAATGAACGATTAAGTTCCCTCTTTCAAATGTCTCGTAGGACCTTGGAGAGCAAAATGAATATAGCTAGAAATTGTTTAGTTGAAGATTTTGTGTCAAGACATTTGGGCTTTGGTCATGTAACTTTGTAAATGTGGAGCAAGTGGCCAGCAGAAATAAAATAATCCCGGAGGGATTGTTTGGTAATCCAATCTTACCAAATGATATTAAACTGGGGGCGATTTAACGATACACATGCTCCAGCTACATTTTTAGATGAGGTATTTGAAGAAGGTATATAAGTCAATTCTTTTTTAAAAAAAGGCAATATATAAACCAGGATTAGAGCACGCTTAATGTATAAACTGCTGTGTTAATTGAACTTAGCAGAGCTTTAACTGGATATTTCAAACTCAACAGGACATGGTGGCGAGATACAAAAGATATTTTAGGCGAAGTCACTACAGTTCCACTGGATACGGCATAACCCCAAAAATATAAAATAAAAATATCACATTAATAATGTCGATTTGGATAAATGTGTTATCAATAAATGATTATCATTATTAAAATATTTTGTCTTATTTATTTTTGATTCCTAAACCTTAAATAATATTATATCCATTGTTGGGTTAACAGAGCATCAAAGGTGCAGCTTGAGCGTAAAGAGAATAAGTATAAATAGCACTAATATAACCGCACCTCAACAACGCTACATTTATTGAATCTGAGATGTTTGGAATAAATAGAGATAGATAGCAGCTCACCAACGCAACAGTTTACAAATATACGCTGCCCGTTGATAAGATTTTACGAAGTGCATTCAATTTTTGTTTCACTCCCAGTCCAAAATAGAAGACAAAAGGTCACAACCTAATTAAATACAGTTTAAAGTAGTATACCTAGTAATAATTAAGTATGGTATAAATATCGAATTTAATCGAATCTAAATATGACATAACCTTAAAATGCTTACGTAATTTAATATTTTCTTTAAACCACTACTTAAGTTTCTAATGATATTTTTCCTACGCAATATACACCTGATTCCCTATTGTTGTACACTTATTCCAATAAGACGCAATGAAAAAAACTTAGCCCAACTCCCAAAGTAAAATGACCATTCTCCTTTAATAATATGCACGTCGCTACACACGCACACATTGGCTGCTTTAGTACAATTTTACATTAGAGTCATGCACACATTGCGCGACATATAAGCCGTTTTATTTGCGTGAGTTATTTGGATTGCTATACCTACGCTATCAAAGATTCTTACAAACGAATAGAAAGGGAGCCTCTTCTCTACACACCTTAAGACGTGGCCGATATAATGAAGTAAATTAATTAAATTATTCTCCTTTAGGGCGACAGCGGTGGCCCACTGACTGTGATCGACGCAGATGGCAAGCCAACCCTGGTCGGTGTGACCTCCTTCGTCTCCGCTATGGGTTGCCATGCTGACTTGCCCGCTGGTAAGTACCTCATCATCACAACCTATTAAGGTCCCCAATGCTGGCTGGATTGGGCCGTGACCCAGCACGCGGGCCCAGTGCGGTTTGATGGGTAGGTACTAATGACTGCAGATGCAGCCGAAACCAACGGCTTAACGTGCCTTCCGAAGCATGGAAGAGTTAGAGATAATAAATTTTTGATCAGCCATCCAATGACTGACCATTGCGAAAGTTGCTTAATTGACACGATTGCAGGTCGAACGCGCTAACCACCTGCGCCATCAAGCTCCTAATAGTTCTTGATGGTAGATACCACGTTAAATAGGTCCTTAGGGGTTGCTAAGACTATTTTTCGATGTACGGATCCGTTTTAATAAAACAGAATAAATGATTTTGATTATTGTTTGCGAAATATTACTTTAGTGCTAATTTTTGAACGAGTAGTCCCCCCCCCCCCCCCTTAAAAGCTTAATTATTAGCTTGAAAAATCTGGATAAAATCATGACGATAGTGCTTTTTATGAACTTTTGAGTAAAATTATAACGGTTAAGATAGATCAGTTAGTTTTAGAGTAATAGCTGACTCAACTTAAGTATTAGAAAATTTGTTAGCTAATAAAAATTCCTTAGAAGAACACATTGAAAGTGTCTTGGATGAACTAATTGATTGATTATAAAGCGTAAACCTTACATTGAAAAACGAAATCTAAAAAACCACAATTAAATAGCTGTGGAACACACACTTGGCCAGTTTTTAAAAATCAATCAAAACATTTTTTTTAACTGTGATATTGGTTCATGGTTATCGTATACCAGATACATGTAAATCTTACTTAATTTTATTGAAAAATATGTTATTCTTTATTCACAAGGATTCTGCCGTGGAGGGTACTATCATGACTGGTATCAGGAGGTGACGGGCATCAATTTCGACTGGGACTTTGACGAACCGACCGAAAAACCCGAGGAACCTGAAAGTCCCGAAGAACCAGAAGGAACTGAAGACCCAGAAGAAACACATCCAACTGAGGGCCCCGGAGAGGCGACACCAAATTTTGCTTACTAATATCAGTAAATTTACGGTAGACCAAATTCTACACCTAAATTTATTTATAAGCCAGATAATAATGGTTGTGTAAAATATAAATCAAATTGAACTAGAAAAATTGCGACTTTTAATTTTTCAATTACAATAAGGATGACCTGCCACAAAACATCAGTTTAATTATGGAAATATTCATAGTAACTCGTAGACGGTATGTATAGTTACAAGTATTTGTTTAGCTTGCATATTCCAGGGTACTCTTAGTTAGTTATGTGTTGTGTACCCTGTAAAGCGCAATCCATATGCAGCTTAGTTACATTAAATATTTACACATGTATGTAAAATTAAATTTAATCTTTTCCTTCGAAACTCTTTGGCTAAGAGAAATATTTTACTTGGTCACATCTTTTTAGATCTCAGTTTTATTGACAATTTAATTATAACTGTTTCCAGAGCCGGACCGTGAGTTTTGGGGGCCCTGGGCTAATACTACTTACCACCCAATAACTCAAAGTATAGAAAAAAATATAACTAGGAAAAATTCCACGCTGACCAGGCAGCAGACGGGACTCGAACCCGCATCCTTCGCTATCCGGGCGAATGCACTGACCAAATTATGCTACCTCGGCCCTGACGGCTAATTATTATTATTAGCTAGTTGCCTAGCTAACTGCCTAGCTAGCAGCCAAGCTAGCAGCCAAGCTAGCAGCCTAGCTTGTTGCTTAGCTAGCAGCCTAGCCTGCTGTCTAACTAGCTGTCTATCTAGTTGCCAAGCTAGTTTCTTTGCTAGTTGCTTAGCAAGCAGCCTAGCTTTCTGTCTAGCTAGCAACCTAGTTAGTTGCCTAGCTAACTGCCTAGCTACTAGCTTAGCTAGCAGCTTAGCTAGCAGCTTAGCTAGCAGCCTAGCTTGCTGTCTAGCTAGTTGCCAAGCTAGTTGCTTAGCTAGTTGCCTTGCTACTAGCTTAGCTAGCAGCCTAGCTAGTAGCTTAGCTAGCAGCCTAGCTAGTAGCTTAGCTAGCAGCCTAGCTAGTAGCTTAGCTAGCAGCCTAGCTAGTAGCTTAGCTAGCAGCCTAGCTACTAGCTTAGCTAGCAGCCTAGCTAGTAGCTTAGCTAGCAGCCTAGCTAGGAGCTTAGCTAACAGCCTAGCTAGGAGCTTAGCTAGCAGCCTAGCTAGTAGCTTAGCTAGCAGCCTAGCTAGTAGCTTAGCTAGCAGCCTAGCTACTAGCTTAGCTAGCAGCTTAGCTAGCGGCCTATCTTGCTGTCTAGCTAGTTGCGTGGCTAGTTGCCTAGGAAGCAGCCTAGCTGGCTGTCTAGCTAGCAGCCTAGTTTGCTGTCTAGCTAGCTGTCTAGCTTGCTGTCTAGCTTGCTGTCTAGCTAGCTGCCTAGTTAGTTGCCTAGCTAGCTGTCGATCTAGTTGCCTAGCCAGCTGCCTAACTATTTGTCTAGCTGTCTAAAAATTTCGCCTTTCGCAGACCATACTTTACGAAAATTAGAGTCCGACCGAAACTGGTTTTCCAGAGAAACCGAATATTCGGCCGTGGCTTCAGTTTCGGCGGAAATCGAAACCGAAACTCACGTGGTCAAGATTAAAATTCCTTAAATACTGAATTTTGTTGCATTTTACCCATTATTCATCATTAATTAGGACATGAAATGGAAACAGTATATTATTTTTTTATTTATTTTTAGATAGATGCTAGATGTTTAAATCTAAAGAAAAGTTTACTAGAAAAAAATCCACGCTGACCAGGCAGCAGACGGGACTCGAACCCGCACCCTTCGCTATCCGGGCGAATGCACTGACCAAATTATGCTACCTCGGCCTCAGGGCTAATTATTATTATTAGCTAGTTGCCTAGCTAACTGCCTAGCTAGCAGCCAAGCTAGCAGCCTAGCTTGCTGTCCAGCTAGTTGATTACCTAGCAGCCTAGCTAGTTGCTTAGCTAGCAGCCTAGCCTGCTGTCTAACTAGCTGTCTATCTAGTTGCCAAGCTAGTTTCTTTGCTAGTTGCTTAGCAAGCAGCCTAGCTTTCTGTCTAGCTACTAGCTTAGCTAGCAGCTTAGCTAGCAGCTTAGCTAGCAGCTTAGCTAGCAGCCTAGCTTGCTGTCTAGCTAGTTGCCAAGCTAGTTGCTTAGCTAGTTGCCTAGCTACTAGCTTAGCTAGCAGCCTAGATAGTAGCTTAGCTAGCAGCCTAGCTAGGTGCTTAGCTAGCAGCCTAGCTAGTAGCTTAGCTAGCAGCCTAGCTACTAGCTTAGCTAGCAGCCTAGCTAGTAGCTTAGCTAGCAGCCTAGCTAGGAGCTTAGCTAGCAGCCTAGCTAGGAGCTTAGCTAGCAGCCTAGCTAGGAGCTTAGCTAGCAGCCTAGCTAGTAGCTTAGCTAGCAGCCTAGCTACTAGCTTAGCTAGCAGCTTAGCTAGCGGCCTATCTTGCTGTCTAGCTAGTTGCGTGGCTAGTTGCCTAGGAAGCAGCCTAGCTGGCTGTCTAGCTAGCAGCCTAGTTTGCTGTCTAGCTAGCTGTCTAGCTTGCTGTCTAGCTTGCTGTCTAGCTTGCTGTCTAGCTTGCTGTCTAGCTTGCTGTCTAGCTGGCTGTCTAGCTAGTTGCCTAGCTAGCTGTTCATATATTTGCCTAGCTTGTGGCCTAGCTTGTAGCTATCTAGCAGCTGAGCTAGTTGTTTAGCTAGCTGCTTGCAGCTGCCAAGCTGATTGCCTAGCTAGCAGTGTAGCTAATTCCGTTTGGAATAGCTAACAGTCCAGCTAGTTGCTTAGCAAGCAGCCTAGCTTTCTAGCTAGCAGCTTAGCTAGCAGCTTAGCTAGCAGCCTAGCTTGCTGTCTAGCTAGTTGCCAAGCTAGTTGCTTAGCTAGTTGCCTAGCTACTAGCTTAGCTAGCAGCCTAGCTAGTAGCTTAGCTAGCAGCCTAGCTAGGTGCTTAGCTAGCAGCCTAGCTAGTAGCTTAGCTAGCAGCCTAGCTAGTAGCTTAGCTAGCAGCCTAGCCAGGAGCTTAGCTAGCAGCCTAGCTAGTAGCTTAGCTAGCAGCCTAGCTACTAGCTTAGCTAGCAGCTTAGCTAGCAGCCTAGCTGGCTGTCTAGCTAGCAGCCTAGTTTGCTGTCTAGCTAGCTGTCTAGCTTGCTGTCTAGCTTGCTGTCTAGCTTGCTGTCTAGCTTGCTGTCTAGCTTGCTGTCTAGCTTGCTGCCTAGCTTGCTGTCTAGCTAGTTGCCTAGCTAGCTGTTCATATATTTGCCTAGCTTGTGGCCTAGCTTGTAGCTATCTAGCAGCTGAGCTAGTTGTTTAGCTAGCTGCTTGCAGCTGCCAAGCTGATTGCCTAGCTAGCAGTGTAGCTAATTCCGTTTGGAATAGCTAACAGTCCAGCTAGTTGATTACCTAGCAGCCTAGCTAGTTGCTTAGCTAGCAGCCTAGCCTGCTGTCTAGTTAGCTGTCTATCTAGTTGCCAAGCAAGTTGCTTTGCTAGTTGCTAAGCAAGCAGCATAGCTTGCTGTCTAGCTAGTTGCCTAGCTAACTGTCTAGCTTGCTGTCTAGCTAGTTGCCTAGCTAGCTGTCTATAGCTGCCTAGCTAGTTGCCTAGGTTGTGGCCTAGCTTGTTGCTATCTAGCAGCTGAGCTAGTTGTTTAGCTAGCTGCTTGCAGCTGCCAAGCTGATTGCTTAGCTAATTCCGTTTAGAATAGCTAACAGCCCAGCTAGTTGATTACCTAGCAGTCTATCTAGTTGCCAAGCTAGTTTCTTTGCTAGTTGCTTAGCAAGCAGCCTAGTTACTAGCTTGCTATTCTAAACGGAATTAGCTAGGCTGCTAGCTAGGCAATCAGCTTGGCAGCTGCAAACAGCTAGCTAAACAATTAGCTCAGCTGCTAGATAGCAACAAGCTAGGCCACAAGCTAGGCAACTAGCTAGGCAAATATATAGACAGCTAGCTAAGCAACTAGCTAGACAGCAAGCTAGACAGTTAGCTAGGCAACTAGCTAGGTTGCTAGCTAGACAGCAAGCTAGGCTGCTTGCTTAGCAACTAGCAAAGCAACTAGCTTGGCAAGATAGACAGCTAGCTAGACAGCAAACTAGGCTGCTAGCTAGACAGCCAGCTAGACAGCCAGCTAGGCTGCTTCCTAGGCAACTAGCTAAGCAACTAGCTTGGCAACTAGCTAGACTGCAAGCTAGGCTGCTAGCTAAGCTGCTAGCTAAGCTGCTAGCTAAGCTGCTAGCTAAGCTGCTGGGTAAGCTGCTAGCTAAGCTGCTAGCTAAGCTACTGGCTAGGCTGCTAGCTAAGCTAAGCTAAGCTAGTTGCTGAGCCAGCAGCCTAGATTGCTGTCTAGCTAGTTGCCTAGCTAGCTGTCGATATATTTGCCTAGCTAGTTGCCAAGCTAGTTGCTTATCTAGCAGCTGAGCTAGTTGTTTAGCTAGATGCTTGCAGCTGCCAAGCTGATTGCCTAGCTAGCAGCCTAGCTAGCTGTCTATCAAGCTGTATAAGTAGCAGCCTAGCTAATTCCGTTTAGAATAACTAACGGCTTAGCTAGCTAGTTGACTTCCTAGCAGCCTAGCTAGTTGACTACCTAGCAGCCTAGCTAGTTGACTACCTAGCAGCCTAGCTAGTTGCCCAGTTAGCTGCCTAGCTAGTTGCCTAGCTAGCTGCCTAGCTAGCTGCCTAGTTAGTTGCCTAGCTAGCTGTCGATCTAGTTGCCTAGCCAGCTGCCTAACTATTTGTCTAGCTGTCTAAAAATTTCGCCTTTCGCAGACCATACTTTACGAAAATTAGAGTCCGACCGAAACTGGTTTTCCAGAGAAACCGAATATTCGGCCGTGGCTTCAGTTTCGGCGGAAACCGAAACCGAAACTCACGTGGTCAAGATTAAAATTCCTTAAATACTGAATTTTGTTGCATTTTACCCATTATTCATCATTAATTAGGACATGAAATGGAAACAGTATATTATTTTTTTATTTATTTTTAAGCTAGATGTTTAAATCTAAAGAAAAGTTTACTAGAAAAAAATCCACGCGGACCAGGCAGCGGACGGGACTCGAACCCGCACCCTTCGCTATCCGGGCGAATGCACTGACCATTATGCTACCACGGCCCTATTCGCCGCGTCGAAATTTTCCTAGCCTTAAGCTGCAAGGCAGCGCCATCTCTTCGCATTGTATTTCTTCTTTCAAATGTTTAATACTTGAAAAACTATTCATTTGACATTGTGGGTTACCTACAAGTTTGTATTTGTACTTAGAAGAATCATCAATCTGTATTATCTCAATATAGGAAACTGCGCTTCTCAATATATAAGGACTGCTGTGCGAGAAACGAAGTAAGGCGAGCGTGCACGACAACTTTCGAAATCAGTTTCGGTGTCGGCAAAAGTTTCGGCCAATTTTGGCCGAAACCGAAACTGCCGCCGAAACTTAATTTTTGGCCGAAACCGAAACCGAAACCGAATTTTCGGTCGGACAATAACGAACTGAACTTCGTTCCAAAATATAACTCATGTGACACAGCAACGCACACAGTGAAATTTAGGTCGCGTTGCTTGCTCGATCTGATTTAAAGATTAATGACCGGGTATTAATGCTTAAACGTTCTCTTTTTCTTAAACTTCATGTTTATATAAATATAGTTACCAATAAAATCGTTAAAAAAAATACGCCGTTATTATCCCTTTTTTATCATTCAATGAAACTTTTGCTTGTTTTTAACATTTATAGCTACCACCATTCAATTATATTTTTTTCTTTTCTACTTTTTATGCCATGACAACGAAAACGCAAAAAATCCCCTTCTATAAAAACTGCTATAAAAACTGGAATGTGCTTATCGAGGACTTCAATTTGATATCCATATCGTGATGGCTGACACAAATATTTTTCTTTTCAAAAATGGCATTATTAACTTAATCCACCATCATGATGTTTTTTTTAAAAGATGAGCTCGTTCGTGATGATTCCAACGTTAACATATTACACAATATACTGTTCAGGCATTAAGGAGTTACGGTGGAATAAATATATTATAAAAAACATTACACTCTTTTTTGTCAGTCGTGTAGAAATGGCTGCTTATGAATTTGTGACGCAGGCAACTCTGACACGTATGACTGGGGCGTATGACGTTGTTTGCGTAGGGCAAGGGGGCGTATTAGGTAACAAAAGACGTTTAATTAGTTTGTCACATAAACTGTACTGTACTGTTCTTCGTGAGATGTAAAAATAGTCGCATGGTTTCTACGACGCCGTATTGCAGAGGCGGCGCACTGCGCATGCGTTACTGGGATACCAGCGGATGAATGAATTTTGGTCTTTTGTAATGTAATTATGGTATTATATTTCTTTTGTGTATTATGAATAAGGTTTTCTACATACTTTTATTTACATTGATAATATGGGTTGTGTTTATTGGATGAAATAATAAGCTACAAATTTAAATCATCATAAAAAATGAGAGTAATTGATCTGCAAAAAATACGATTAATAAACTTACTTGAACTTTTAATTTTTTTCGAGGATCATTTAAATATTTTCCGGCATAAATTAAGTGTTTAAAGGCTTAAGAAGCATATTATTGCTTTTGCAGCGATTTATCGCTCAAACGCTTTCATTTTAAACTTTTAATTTTTTTAATCAAGTTAAACCACCAAATCAATTGCCGAACAATGAAAGTAAGAAACTTTCGTTACGTTCGTAGAAATATATTATTTAATATAAACATACAGGACTAAGGTACAAACGCTTGTTTTCATAATTTGTTACTCCTACTCCTACCTCCGGGTTACACCCAGAATCTCTGAGTAGGGAATATCTTGAAACTGCTGTACCTACCACTTCACCACAGAGGTGTTCAAAATATATTTAATATCCTAATAGTCCTTCACTGTACCTCAAACACGAACAACTAGCAAGAAAATATTCGTATCGTCATGTCAATTTTTCTATGGAAAATGATAGTTTGTTCATACGTTCGGTGCGGGGCGCTGTTTAGCTTTCATAGAATCTTTGACGTGTTTATACGAATACAGATCTGTGGAAGTTCGTGTTTAAGGTACTGGTCATATTACTGATTGGTTGTTTTTTTAATAGCAATAGATCTTCGATTACTCCCTAAGCTGAGGGTTATTTATTCACGACTGACAACACACACCGGCGCATTTGGCGCGCGCGCGAAACGGCCCCAGCGGCAAATCAACATGGCGATAGCTCCGGGAGCGCGCCTCACATCGTAAAACAACCGGATAGCACCCTTCACAATACACCCACTCACCGGTCTTAGTAAATAAAAAACTTGTTGTGTCTAAAATGTTATAGTGTTCAGTGTTTGAGGTTTTATCCTGCGCAAGGATTGCGTTATAGTGTGTTGCATGAGTGTTCCCGATGGACGTGAAGGGGATGATGGACGCGACTCACCGGCCAGCACGGAGCAGCTAACGTTAGTATAATTTTTCAATATCTCCCTATCTACATTTGAATAATCGATTCCAACTTTATCAACGATCGGGCGTACTAACAAAGACTTTGATCGAGCACTAGCCGGAACATACAGTCAACCTCTTTACTAAAAAAAAGGTTTCGTTTTGTTCTTTTTTTATTCCTTGTTAAATTAATGCAAAGGTTATACACGGTCTACGAGGAATTGAAAACCTTACGTATTTAGCTTACAACGAAGTGCTCTATATTGCCAGTGAAGCTTTGGGAACGTAATTTATTCGTTACTTAGAACGTGAAGACTAACGAACCATTACAGCACCCCATTGAATACTAATATATTAGTGGAGGGAAAAATATTTTTCTCACTCAAAATGTCCGCCAAGTAAAATAATATCTTTTGGGAATTCTCATAAAAGAGTTTGCGTCTTTGCGTTGCTCCAATACCAATTTACGTGTAACGGGCAATGGTAACGGGTATTCTATATTCCTTCTACTAGATCATTTACATACATTTATGTCCTTACGATTTATGGTTGGTTCTGAGAAAAAATATTACGTTGGAAAATAAATATATTCTACATATAAACTAAAATAGAAGTCCTTTTGTACTTATAGTGTTTACTTTATGATTTGATTCTGGCATGATACCAGCTGTAAATTATAATCGTTTCTTGTAGTTCCGCATACTCCACTAATTTATCTGTACGGTTGAAACAAGGGTAAATAAAGCGCGTACAATCAAACTTGGAACTATGGTTGGATGCATCATACGTAAAATGTAACATACTGTAACATGTGAAACGTCAATAAAGAAATAAAATCAATGCATCTAACCCGTTGAAACTTGTTTTATTTAATGAGTGATGTGCGTGAAAACCTAAGAAACAAATAAGACTGTAGAGTTTGTTATTTTTATTTAACCATTATTATACTTCTGTGATTCGCCCTTCGAGATTACACTTAAATCGTATAATATAAGTCGCTCGTCACTTACAGGTAAGTTCGTTTGACTTTCAATTATACTTTTGTGATTCGTCCTTCGAGATTACACTTAATTCACTTATAGTAGCACGCATTATGTGCTGCCATCGTACATACAAGGTGAATTAAGTGTAATCTCTCGGGCGAATCCCATCGTATAATATCAGTCGAACGTCACTTACAGATAAGTTCGTTTGACTTTCAATTTAACTGTTTTATTATATTACAAAAAAAAAATACTCGGCTCAGGTATCAGGGAGGATTCGAACTGCGCCTTCTCCTATCCGAGCTATATGTAAAGTTCCTTTTTTTTTATGAAATGTTGACAATAAAACTGTTTTTTTATGATTGGGTTGTCTGGAAGAAATCGCTGATTAGCGATAAGACCGCCCTTTGTGCAACTGTAATTGTTTTGCCTTGTTTTTGTATTTTATTCGTGTTCTTTTGTTACTGTTGTGCAATAAAGTGTTATTATCTTATCTTATCTTATAAAACTGACAGTATTTGACTGGGCGATTTTCATATTGAAGAACGATGAACACCTAAGTACGTGATTTACTCGAATACAAAGGTTTCAGCACCATTCACAAGATTAAATACTAGGTTTTGAATGGTGATAAATCACCATTTTTGTATTGGAGCAGCCTATATTTTATTAAAGAAATTAATACGCATTCTGAATCGTCATCATCATCATCAGCCCATTAATGTCCCCACTGCTGGGGCACAGGCCTTCCCAATGGATGGAATAGGGCATTCTGAACACAAAACTTATATATACAAATATACTAACTTATATTGTCTTTAAGGGTTCATGAGATACGGTGCGCTTAAAGACGAACGGACAGCGGAGGCTCAGTAATAGGGTTTCATTGAAATCCTTTGGCTATGCAACCCCAAATAAACCGGACAAGTGCGAGTCAGGCTCATCCATCGAGGCTTCCGTACAAATTTATAGATACCCAACATAAAGGCCGTAACTTTTTTACGCTAACTTTGATGTTTTGATTTTTTCACAGCTTCAAGAGATCGTAGACTTTAGTTTAAGGTTTAAATTTCGGCTTGATATCTCCACGCGTTCTTGAGATAAAAGATCTTGACAGATAGATGAACGGCAAGATGGACAACAAAGTGATCCTTTAAGGTTATAGCTGTTAACGGGATCGTTACCATGTACCTTGTTTTTAATGAGTCTCCGATATTTCGGCACTGTTGCAAGCGTCATGATCACGGAGTAACTGTAGTGTTGCCGATCGATAGTCGACTATCGATGATTAATCGATAGTCTATCCATAGCCAACCAATCGTATGACAATCGACCGGCTTATCGATAGTATCGATACTATCAATAGTAACATACTGTAACATGTGAAGTATCAATCGATCGATAGAATCGATACTATCAATAGCATCGATTCTATCGATAGCACAGAAAAAGCCAATACTATCGGATGAGTGAAATACTATGATACTATCGATAGCATTGTAGTTCGTTAATAACAAACTATCGATACTGTCGATTTTATTTGCAACCATACTGTCGATAGTTTAACAATTTGCAATAGTATTGTTAACAATTTTCAGGTATTAAAGTCAATCACAAACTTTAGTCTAAAAAATCGCTAGTATCGATAGTATTGTTGCAGATAAAATCAACAGTATCGAAACTATCAATAGTTTGTTATTAACGAACTACAATAGTATCGATAGTATCTATAGTATTGCACTCATTCGATAGTATTGCCTTGTTCCGAGCTATCGATAGTTTCGATACTATCGGTTGTATCGATTCTATCGATAGGGTTCATGATTTTCGATGTAAACTGTCGATAGTTTTAATATCGATAGTTCGGCAACACTATCCCTGAGTAAACCAAGTAATTGCGGGTAGATGTAATTGGCAGACATATCGGTCTACCCTCTGACGTCGTCTTTTAGTGCGCTCGATAACCCTACCACTGGTCACATTCTCACTGTTCACTCGCTCTTGTTCCCGACACACAATACTCACAGTATCAGCATTTAATAGCTATAATGTTAGTGCCTATGAAAGTTTAAAACAATGATCCTATAACGGTTCCATTAACTTAACTCGATTTCAACAAGTTTCCGATGTCACCCTGGATTTATGCTCTGGAAATCTTTGTTTACGCTGGCGTTAAAAATAAGAAACGTGTTACGATAGGAATAGTGACAGTTTGTCTGGCTCATCTTTTAACATAGACATATTCCTCAAACCATTATTTTCATATACACAGAGCAAGCGTTTTAGACTACCTATACAAAATAGTCAAAATAATTATGGTTAGATAATTATCTAACCTATTTTCCGCTTAAAGTCGCTTTCAAGAGTTCAAATAGCGTTAGAAGGTGTCACCTACTCGATAGGTCCCGGCTTCGAATCCCGGTGGGGGCAGATGTTTGTGTGATAAATACAAGCAGTCCAGTCATGGATGTTTTATTTGTATTCCTATATAAGTATCAGTATACAGATTGTTACAAAAATTCAAATAAAGCTTGAAGGGCGTTGAAGTACATCATATAAGAAGTCTTCTCTAATTTTCTTAAAATATTTGCATGTAGTTTTAACTGTTAATAAAAATGGGTGCCTGTACTTATGTAGGCGCGTGAGAAGTTATCCTTCTTTGGCAACGTTTAAAATTAGTTTTTAATTGCATGCAAATAATTAATTACAATAAATTAATAAAAAGTCTGGAAAAGGACACAGTCAATAAAGTTCAGTTTTAATTTGAAAAAATAAATAAATAATCAAAATATTCAATTAAAATCGCTACTGAATATAATTTATTAGAACATATGTGATTTGCACTTGTATGAAACTCAAACACGTATTCCGAATATACAAACTAGAAACATGTGGATAAATATTATAAATATGAATACCTATAACTGTTACTTTATTACAAAAAATAAAGATGTGGTTTTTGGTTCTACTACACCAATGGTCAAGAGATGGCGCTGTAGTCTCCTGAATCGCTTTTTGGTTCCGTTGTTCCAGATTAATAAATACTTTTGATATTATAAATATGAATACCTATAACTGTTACTTTATTACAAAAAATAAAGATGTGGTTTTTGGTTCTACTACACCAATGGTCAAGAGATGGCGCTGTAGTCTCCTGAATCGCGCTTTGGTTTCGTTGTTCCAGATTGATAAATACTTTTGATAGGCCTTCACAATGCAGTCGTTAGCACCCACTAAATAGAGATTCTATTTCTATTTTGATAGTAGATTTTCTTAATGTGCGGTAAACACAAAAGTAACAGCATGAAGTTGGTCGCTAAAGCGACCAACTTCATGCTGTTAATTTTTTGTGTTACAGTGATGCGCGCGCATCTTAAAATTTCACTCTCATCATTTTTTCATAACGCGCCTAAAGTATAACTTCAAAAACTTTAAGTTATTTTTAGAGTCGGTAGTCATTTGGGACCGGGACCACTGGTCCTGACGGGGACATGGAATTAATAAATTATTTTGAGGCGGCATTCGGGACCGAAGCTAGTGGTCCCGAATGACACCTATGTTTAATGATTATTTTGAGTGGTAAATTGGGACCATAAATATGATCTAAGTTCCTATCTTAATTTTTTATGACAAGGAAGTACAGTCAAATAAAAAACGGCTTTTATAATATAAAATATTTCTTTTATTTGTTAAAATCACAGCCTTTAATTGAAAGTAAAGCTAACTAGCTAAATATTTGTGTTTATTTCTCCCAAATCTACATGATTGCATTCAAAATCATTTGCTAATAAAAAAATATACTTATACATTTTACATGATGATTAACAACATTTAAATAACAAAATAGTAGTATCTCATTCCAACAAATCAAAAAAATGTCACCCTATTACGTTTTAGTTACAAATAAAAATTACTTACAAACTTTTCAATTAAAACATCAGTGTTACTCGATGGTATTTTTTAAATCAATATCACAACCGTTTTTTTTACTATTATTAAATCTTTTATTTCACATAAAAATCAACTAAAATAAT